ACTCCGGTTGATAACAATTATCCAGACAAGTTCATTAGGAGATATAAAGTAGTCAGAACACCAAGACCCACGCTCCAACTCGTCACCAAAACAGATGTGTACATCAAATTACTCTATATGGGACATCAAAGCAGCTTCATAACTAGACAAAGATTGAACGCTCCTGTTAAAAAGAATTATTATGCAGCTAATATCATAATAATTGAGAATGTGAAGCCAATATATTTATTTAAGCCCCTTGAACATGAGAACAATGATGTCACATCCCACTGTATTTACCAATTTGAATGTACGTGTGGACACACATACATAAGGAGGGCTCATTGATCTCTGCAAGTAAGGACTGGCTTCAGAGTATATTCCTAAATAGCTCCAAAAACAAATGGAATCTTCAGAAGCTATTAAGAGTGAGAACATGAGACCTAGCTCTGCTATTGCAAAACATATTATACAGACAGGACATAAAATTGACGTTAACAGACCTTTTAACCCTATCTATAAAACGTGTTTGGGGCGTATCCTAAAGTTTTTGAAAGCCATAGCAATTAGAACGTTTAAGCCACCTTAATGCGTTCAAAAACAATTCGTTATCACATTAAACCTTCCTTGGTAAATTTTGTTTTGATATCATAGCAGACGTACTATTACCTCTGCTATTTGGTTTAGTAACCTCGCCAGATACTAGCTTGCTAGGCTACTAGCTTACTAGTTTTCTCGCCGGTCCCAAGCCCGGGTAAAGAGGGAGGGTTGGGGCGTGGTGCTAGCAACTCCACCCCTGTAAAACAACCAAATCGCTACAGAAACTTCAACGAATAAATATATTAAAAATTCTAAAAACATAAGCAATAGCCTTACTTTTCGCTGGAATCGGGGAAGTGAAATGACGCAGGCTGGTGAAAGCCTTCGGGAAGCCAGTCAGCCGATGTGCCTTCTTTCGATGAAAGCAAAAGTAAGGATGGGTACCTGGAATGTTCGCACAATGTACGAAACTGGAAAGGCTGCCCAGATAGCCGCTGAAATGAGAAGGTACAGAATAGAAGTGTTGGGAATCTGCGAAAGCAGATGGAACGGAACTGGAAGGTGCCAACTACCTACTGGAGAGACAGTAATCTATTCCGGCCACCCAGAGGACAACCATGAGCACACCGAGGGAGTGGCCATCATGATGTCACCAACAGCAACCAAAGCTCTCATGCAGTGGGAACCAATCTCCTCCAGGATAATGACAGCCAGGTTCAACTCAAAAGGAAGGAAAGTTACAGTCATTCAATGCTATGCGCCTACAAACGTCTCAGAACAAGAGAAGAAGGAGGCGTTCTACAGACAACTACAAGCAATAATGGACAACGTCCCAAATGGCGATATCAAAATCCTGATGGGCGACATGAATGCGAAGCTGGGAGGAGACAACACAGGAAGAGAACTCACCATGGGTCGTGAGGCCCTCGGTGAAATGAACGACAATGGTGAACTCTTCTCAGACTTCTGCGCCTTCAATGATTTGGTGATTGGTGGTAGTGTGTTCAAACACAAGGATATACACAAGACGACATGGATTTCACCAGATGGAAACACCAAGAACCAAATAGACTTCATCTCAATTTCAAGAAAGTGGAGACGGAGCCTACTGGACACAAGGTCAAGGAGAGGAGCAGATGTGGGTTCAGACCACTATCTAGTAGAAGGGACTTTCAAGGTGAAACTAAAAGCCTCGAGGATAGCTGGGGATAGGCCACAATGCAAGTTCAACACTCAATTACTGAAGGACACAACCACAAAAGACACTTTCACTGCAACTGTCAGAGCAAAGCAGGAAACACTACGCGACATCACTGAAGAATCATGCGTGGAAGAACATTGGAAGTCTCTGAAGGCGATTCTCAACGAAACGTGTTCAACGGTTCTAGGAAGAAAGAAGAGACAAGACAAGGAATGGCTCTCAACGGACACTTGGAAATTAATAGAAGAGAGGAGAATGGTGAAAGAGAAAATGATTCAATGCAAGGACGGACAGGAGAAGGAGACTGAGCTCAACTTACAAAGCACTGGACAAAGAAGTGAAGAAAGTGCTAGGAAGGACAAAAGACGATTCTACGACAACCTAGCCACTGAAGCTGAGAAGGCAGCAGGCAAAAGGGACCTGAGGACACTATATCAGATAACCAAATCTCTATCCGGGAAGAGATCAACACAAGCGAAACCTATAAAAGACAGCCAAGGGAACCCAATTACCAAGGAAGAAAAACAGATTAAACAATGGGCGGATCACTTCAAAGGACTCTTGAACCGACCATCACCTGCAACCCGTCCAGAAATACCAACAACAGCGCGCACACAACTGCAAGTTGACACCAATCCTCCAACGAGAGCTGAAGTCTTGAACGCAATCAAACTTCTGAAAGCTGGAAAAACAGCCGGACCAGATGGAATACCCCCTGAAGCACTGAAAGCAGACCCAGAGACGACAGCAGACATGCTGACTCCATTATTGCAAAAGGTCTGGAAGGAGGGAAAGGTGCCTACTGACTGGAGGAAAGGTTACCTCGTGAAACTACCAAAGAAGGGCGACTTAGGACTCTGCAAGAACTGGCGAGGAATCATGCTCCTATCGACGCCAAGTAAAATCCTGAGTCGCATCATCCTGGAGAGATTAAAGGACGCACTGGAGACAGAACTCCGACCAGAACAAGCTGGATTCAGGAAAGGCAAATCATGTACTGACCAAATTGCAACTCTACGCATCATCATCGAACAAAGCATGGAATGGCAATCAAACCTCTACCTCAACTTTATAGACTTTGAGAAGGCCTTCGACAGCGTTGACCGTGAAGTAATTTGGAAATTACTCGAGTACTATGGCGTACCCCAAATATTCATCAACCTTATTCAACAGCTGTACGACAACGGCACCTGCCAAGTGATCCACAACGGAAAACTCAGCGAGGCGTTTGGAGTAAACACAGGAGTCAGACAAGGGTGCTTATTATCACCAATGATATTCCTAATTGTGGTGGACTGGATTATGCGTCAGACTGTGGGAAACGAGAAGACAGGAATATCCTGGACCGACGTGAAGAACCTAGAAGACCTGGATTTCGCGGGTGACTTATGTTTGATGTCACACACAATCGAAGACTTACAAGCGAAAACCGACAAACTGGTCGAAGAAGCAGCAGCGAAGACAGGACTCCAGGTAAACATAGACAAGACGGAGGTTATGAAAATAACCAACCAACCAACAACAACAACATCCAACGTCAATCACCATCAACGGGAGGGATTTGAAAGAGGTTACTTCATTCACTCACTTATCTAGGGAGCATTGTCTCAACTACAGGAGGAGCGGACGAGGATGTCAAATCGAGAATCGGGAAGGCGAGAAACACATTCATCAACCTGAAATCAATCTGGAAATCTTCGTCACTCAGCATCACCAACAAAATTCGGATTTTCAATACAAACGTAAAGTCATTCAGTTCTTCTATACGGATCAGAAACTTGGTGGGTGGGTCACAAAGAATATTTCCAACAGCCTGTTGCAGACCTTTATTAACAACTGTCTTCGCTCTATACTGAAGATCAGATGGCCGGAAAGAATCACCAACAAGGAATTATGGGAACAAACAAAGCAAGAACCAATCGCCCAACAAATATGCAGGAGAAAGTGGAGATGGATCGGACACTCGCTGAGGAGACCGCTGGGTGACATCGCGCGCCAAGCCCTCGAGTGGAACCCGAAAGGGAAGCGGCGTGTGGGACGTCCAAGGGTGACATGGAGGAGATCGTGTGAAGAGGAGTTGAAAGAATATGGATTAACATGGATGCAGGCGAAAAGTATTGCAGAAGACAGAAGAAAATGGAGACGTGCAGTTGAAGCCCTATGTTCCACTAGGAACCCAAGGGAGCAATAATAACAATAATTTGGTTTAGTGATCTTCATTGTTATTTTGATCTTGAATGTGTCCTTTTAACTTGACCTTAGTCTATTTTCTCACATCTTAACTCTTTATTAATTTCATATATATCTGTTCTTATGACAAGTCCGTGTGTGATCAGATTGTTCGAAATGTGTTGCGCAATTACATTACACGATTCAGACAAATTACGTTTTCTTATTACTTTATCCAAATTCATAAAGGGAACTAATTGTTTTAAATTCATTTTTACTCATAACCTACCTAGGTAATCCTTATGCAGATAATGACTGGATAACAAGACGTTGTGTTAATTATTCTCATTATTCTGAACTCATTTTTGTCACTTTGTGTACTTCAACTGCCCTTTAGTTTTTCAATATAAATTTACCTGACAAGTAAATGTGTGAGGGATCAGAATGTTCAAAATGTATTGCTCAAATACAGCATATTATTTTCCAAATAATCTCCATCTTCTAATAACACTATACAAATTTATGAAAGGGACTAATTGTTTTAGATACATAGACCGATATGTAGGCAGACGAAAAATACTCAAATGTCCTAAGATATTTTCCACAATGAATTGTTAAATTTTAGCATTTAATTCAGTTGACAGTTTTGACCATACAATTACATTGACTACAGAACACGTGAAAAGAAACAAGCACTTGTCGTTTATTTGTGCACAATCTTAAATATTTTCAGTTGGTATGATACAAAACTTTGTTCTCCTGTTATGCACGTTTCCTCTTCACCTGTCTGTAGGAAAACACTAACTTTTCTAAACAGAGGCACAATGAATAAGGGGTCTTAGAGATGAGGTATTGTTTCAGTGAGAAAGATTACACTTCCTATAATAATCCGAGTAGAACTGAAAGGCTATGATTTGGGCACAGAATGTGTTTGTGGTATATTGAATAACTTAATAAAAACTCAAAACAAAGCTCAATACAAGCTTAGTTCCCTTAGTTTATACGTAGATTAATTTCTTATAAATATCTGTTTATGTCCTTGATGAACTATGAATGTATCTAATTGTACCGGCTAAGTACCAAAATCAGACCTTTGGAAAAAGTTAGTCTTACGCACTAGCGTGTATATTAAATCATTAAATTTTATTTGTAAGTGAGTTAATTATGGAAGAGAGGAAAATGCCAGTGGAAAATGTTGCAACACAACAACAAAAAAAAGTTTAATCAGAAGTGAAGAAAACGCTTTTTATTGTTAAGTAAAGCATAGTAACGTTCACTGTTTTTGATTTATACCTCCTTTCGTTCAATAAAGTTTATTTAATATTGTTTAATTTTGAATTGTGTGCACACCATTTCGTAGGTAGTGTTTTCAATGTATAACAATTATTTATTAGGACATTTGACAGTGACTGAATTGATAACATCTCCTTTCTCATCGTTTACTTCTATGTTATCAGCTGAAAAACTTCTTTTTGTAATATATCGATGAGTACCTTTCGAAGAATTAGCATGTTGAGATTTTAAATGGCTGTTTAATTTCCTGGGTTTACTGTAGCAAACATGAACAGGCTTCATTGCAATATTCATTTGCAATGGTTTATAATATTTTAAACGGCACTGTTCGCATAAATCATCAGTGTCTTCGTAAGATGAAGATGATGACGAAATTGAATTTAAAAATCTATGATCACATAGGTTTTTTGAAGTGTACAGATAATCAAATTCGTGTACAGAACGTTTGCACGTTGCGCCGTGTACTTCTATATTCATGACCAAATCTCCACATGTTGAAGTAGACCGTCTGTTGGTGGGTTTACTTTGAAAAGGGATTTCTGTCAGATTCCTTCGAACTCTTGGTTTGCTTAGTGTGCTTGTCATTCGACATGGAGGTAGACTTTCATTTGTCCTACTCCGAATCTCCTTCTTTGTAGTCAGAATGGGTGTAGAAACTTGTTTCATTTGAGTGTTTGTTAGTGAGTCAGTTTGATAATCTACGGCTCTGCTTTGATATGTCATACCAGATGAACTTCCAAATAGGGGTTTGGAGTGAGTAATAAATTTCACATGATCACTTCTTGTACTCAAGTTATCTATAGTTGCAGGCTGTGGAATCGTCTGCTCAACTGTACGACCAGATGGGTATTTATAAATCTCTTTTCTGTATTTTTCATTTGTTTTTTTCGGATCCACGTTTGAGTTAGATGTAGACTCTAGTTCAGTCACATAAATATATGGCAAATCAGTTTGCGATGAACTATCTTTCTGGTTGTGATATAATTTTTTGTTGGTTAAGCCGATTTGTGTACTGGTTTCATTTAGCAGCACTAACCCATGGCAGTCAGTTGCTTTGACCAAATTGGATACATCGTTTCTAAATTTTCGAGGAATTTTTAAGTCAGGTGATATGAAAGTAGACTGTGCATCTACCAGATTGCTTTGGGCATTGTTTTTAACATGAGCGACATTTAAATTATTCACTGTTGTCTCTTTCACTTCAATTTGTGTGGCGACATCTTCGTACTGAGGTGCTGAAGGCAAATTCACCTGAAACTTTTTGCCTACCATCACTGGCGATGTAGTTTCAAATGACGATGCGTCACACATAAGACTATGATATATTGTTCCGTTTTTTCTAGTTTCACCCCTTGTATCATTTGAAAGTTCTGCATTGTCAACAGCAGTTTTGAAAGAAGTACCGATCTGACATGATACGGAAAATTTTAATGGGTCTACTGGTCTTGCTCCATAACTAAGAGTTAACTGTGTTAGTCGCCTTGTAGGACTTTCAAAACTTTTTGGCCTTTCATTGTACTTCGCATATCTTCGTACATCATCACTTTTTTCATTTTCATTGATGTGACTATTGGCTGCATTACAAAGAGGCTCTCCAATTTCCATTGGTTCAGTGCTTTGGTTTCTTTTCACAGTGCCCACCTGGCAACTTACATTCCATACTTTTATGCTATTCTTTTTAAATTCATTACGAACAGTTTCGGGATCTTGTTGATCAGTCTGGCTAGACGATGAAGTCACTGTATGCTTAGAACTTTTGCCCAATATATGACTACTAACAAAATCACACTGAACAGAATTATTTTCGTAGGAAACTTTGTGTATCCTTCTGTCGCAATACTGACAGAAATCTTCTGCATTCGTCGAAGCCTGCTGGATATCCGATGCTGAATCCAATACGGTAGTATCTAAATTTCCAGTAGTACATATGTCGGTATCAGTCTGAATACCTGAATCGATAGTATTATATATATGACTTTCACTAGGTAAATAGCGATCAGAGTATTTTTCGAATGAATGCTTCCTGATTAGTTTCCTGGGTTTCGTTTTAATTCTCTCACTACGAATATTTACGCGTCTGTTTTTTGGATGAAGTCCCTGGGGAGAAGAGTGTGACGCGGGCCACCAATTAATGTTAAAAGGGGGACCATAACCCAACGGCATACCTTGTTGTACCCAACTGTACGACCGTATTACAGGATCAGTGTCTTCGTTTGGATTCATTTGAAATTTATCCGCTGGTATTAAAGAATTCGGTGATTGGTGAAGTGAGCTTTGTGTTAATTCACTTGGGATAATATTCAGTGGTGATCTTCTTCCAGGGGGTCCTGGTTCGGTGTATGGGCTGCCTGGCGTTTGTGGACCAAACTCGTTTGATTTGCTTTTGCTACGCTTATACCACCACAGAAAAGAGCTTTTACTCTTTGGTTTTTCTTGAGTCCTGGTGTGTGCAGCATGACGATTTTGTCTAGACTCCTTTTCGTCTTTTATAATAATCGAGGATTCTGAAGGACTGTCAAGACCAGAACTTGCTGTAGTTTCAGTAAGGCTAGCACTTGCACTATGTGGTCGTGATTTATTTCGAACCTTCGATTTTAAAAACTTTCGTATTTCATTTCCTCTCTTATTTTCACTGTTTGCAATTTTACATTCATCAAAACCGACATTCCCTGTTTCCAAGAGTAGACTTGGCATTGATTGCGCAGGCTTCATATGACCATCTAAAGCATCGCTGACTGCACTGCATGAATTAAAACATGAATAATTCGATTCGGTATTACAAATAAAAGGTGACAGTATACTTATTTCATGAAACTCAGAACAGGTTGGGCAATAGACAACAGCAGAATGAAATGGTGTATCAATTTGTGTCATAAGTTCTCTTTTCTCCTTATTCAATTTGGATTGATTTGTTGAAGGTTTCTGGGTAGTATGATAGTGCAGTGAGTCCTTTATAGGGAGTTCTGCATACTCTTCGCATGTAGAACTGTCTCTATTCAATTTAAAAGTTTTCGGCACATTATAGTTAAAACTTGTCACCAGCTCTTTATCTTCATATCCATCTTTTGTTTCTGATGAATTCGTTGTGGGATATTCATTTATCTTTTCTGATTTCTTCACACTGCTATCTTGTCGTAACAGCCTAAGATAAGAAAAGATAACAAAATAATTTATTTCCCCGTTTAAATGTCTAACTGGACTATATGGTTATATTTACGAGCACTATTGATACTGAGAAACGTTTGAAAGTACATAACTTTGAATACATTTCCAGTTATTAATACAGTGGATGTATAACTGAAGGACTCTGAGGTCAACCTATTTGTACATCCCATCTCATACCGCTTACAGATGATTGACGTATTTCAGGAATGTTCATACGTACATAGATATTTAGAAGTTAGCCGAATTCGCTCTTTTTCTGCTTAACTCATAGCGATTGAATAGTCACAATTTGCTAAAATTTGTATTTAGCATATCACGACAAGCTATAACAAACAACAACAAAAACAACCATCAGTCACTGCCAATGGGAGAAATTCTATGGAAGTCGTCTCTCTCACTCACCTAATCAGCACTATTTCAATTACAGGCGAAACGGATGAGGATGTCAAAGAGTGGATCGGAAAGGCAAGACAAAAAGTCACCACTCTGAAATCAGTGCATAAATCTACTGCACTAAGCAGAGGGAACAACAGCTGGATATTCAACACTAATGTCAATTCACTGACAACTTCTGTATGCTTCACTGATTTAGGGCGTAACCGGAAGTATTTCGAACAGACTTCAAACCCTTATCGGTAGACACTTTCCTCGGCTCCATACTGACAATCAAATGATTGACCTGAAGGATTAGCAACGGAGAATTCTGGAGACGAACCACCAAAGAACATACCGTTCAACAGATGTGACACATCGAAAGGAGATGGGTTGGACATACACCAAGGGTACTACCCAGAGACATCGTGCGTCAGGCTGTCGAGTGTGGCCTGAATGAGATACGATGGGTCGGGCATGCCTCTCAGAGTGGCATGGAGGATATCGTCTAATGATCAAAATGGAAACATGTGGATAATAGTGGAGCCAGATGAAGAGGACTGCAGAAAACATGATGAAATGGAGATGTGCCGTTGAAGCCCTGTGTTCCACTTGGAGCCTAAGAGAATAATAATTTTGATAGCCCGCATAATTGACTTCAACAAAGCTTATGAGTTTTCTATTTCAAATAAATGGGAAGGAATTTTATTACATGACACTCTAATTGTGTTTACGAAACTCGATTGTTTCAAGTAGATTGACTGTAGGCGTTTAATCAAACTTTTGAGTTAAAGCTATCTTGATCAACACTGAATAATTTGTCTTCATTTCACAATTTCAGTTTCAGTCTATCTAAATGGCATAAAAATGGATAATCTTTTCACTTGTAAATATACCAGTGAAACACTATTGTGTATAGAAATATTTAATTCTTGTTAGTAATTGTTAATTGTCATTTAAAAAACGATTTTTTTTTCATTTATGGTTTTCTATACTCTCATCTTCAGGTGAAAGTAGGAAAACATAAACATTAGATTTTATACTTATAAGACGAAAAGTCTGCAAGAATAGAAAACATCTTCAACCCCGTGGCGAAAAAAATCCAGCGTATATTTCGGCGTTATTTTTGTGCTAACTAATATTATTCATCGCTAGGCTCCTGGTAGAACATAGGACCTCAACAGTCAACTGTTATTTCATTTTATTCTCTACAGTCATTTTTATCTGACTCCGTGATTACCAGTACTAACATTCCAATTCTTCTTCACAGGATGTCATCCATGTCATCCTCGGATCAACACCAAGCACTTCCCATTCGTATTCCACTCTAGGACCAGCCACGTGATGTTACTCAACAGTGTCTTCAGGTCATGTTCACTCCATCCCTATTTATTTTGGCATATTTGTTGCCTGTACAACAGCTTCTTGGGTGATCTGCCTCCAGATTTTCTTGTTACTTATTTTTTCTGGGTGGCTATCTGATTTTCAGCATCAAGGTGACACTGGCAGTTATCGATATAAGTTTGAAATCTATTAAGAATGCTGTTTTGACGTGTTAAGTTTCCAAACCAAACAGGAAGACTGACTTGACATCACTGTCATAATCTCAGGTATCATTGATGATGCTGACTGAGGTAGATCTTGATACCTCGATCCTGCATTTTACATCCCAATCAGTTCTGCATGTGGCTGAAATGATACAGGCAAGTTAGGTGAAAGATGACTTTTTTAGATTTCTCCCAATGATAGTGGTTAGTATTTGTCTATAATATAATAGTGCATATGTGGGTCAAGGACAGAATAATCACCAGCCACGTTGGAGTTACGGGTTCAAACCCAAGCCAATACATTCCCTAACCTCTCCTAGCCAGGTCCGAAAAAGATGGAGAGTAACAACCATGTAAAAACAACCCCATGGCTAGTAAAAATTAAAAGTCTGAAAAGCTTTACTTCATACAGCGAAAGGAATGAAAAAGTGTGATGTGGTAGTATATCCACAATATTTATGAAGTGCAAAACTCACAAAAAATTTATGTCTGAACTTTCAACGTCTGCATTCAAATCAGAATGTTCGCTAGCTTCATTTTCATCCCTTTTTCCCTCTGCTTCATCCAATTTCTTCAGTAAAGTCTGAAAGAGGATATCGTTAACATAGATACTAGTTAGAGAATTCTATATCTTCCCCTATTAAATGAATCTCTGATGGACGTTTTTCACATATCATTCTTTATAACCAGTTACCAATCCGTTTGAAATTCCCCAACTGCATTAGTAAAGGATTTATATATAAATAGACAGAATATAGAACTTTTTAAATTTGCAGATAACAACTTTTTGGTGGACGACAAAATATATGATAAATAACGTCATTTTCTACTTTCTGTTAATTATCTCTAAGTGTTCAGAATCAAATCGCAAAGCAGACTATTCTGTCTCAGTATTTCAGCCGGACTTCACAAATAATCAGCAGAGTTTGATCACTAACACGAAATTTGTAGTTATATCGTTTATCGTCAAATGGTTAGTTAATAAAACTGAAAAACTCCTTATGAAGGCTATAATTTGATAGTACGAGTGCACTGGCATTTCCTGAATTTCCGAGCTTCCTCTGGATTCTGTTGACAGAATTTCAAATGCCATATTTCACGAAATAGCATATCAGACAAATCTTATCTGAACCACAACTACGACTTTCCATCTACTGTTTGACACCCTCAGTCCACAGCTAATTGCTGGTTGTCTGTTTATTTGCTCAACAGTTGTGAATAAACGCTTCCACTATTAATACCTACATATGTCTACATTATATAAACTCAACAAGATAAATTCCATTAAATAATTTTATTTGACAAAAACACGCAGTTTTGCAGTATTGTTTAGGTCACTGAAACAGTTGATAGCGCAACTTATCGATGATAACCATGTCACGGGGCTCGCATAAGTTCAAGATTTTGTTGATAAGACCCTATTATTTCCTGTCCTCTTATTTTGTTGGCAATAAAATTCTCTGTATCCTTAATATTGGTGTTAGTTCCTTTATTCCTCATGCCCGACTGTTGAATCAAATAAAATTACTCTATTACAGAATTACGACCTGCCACAGTGGCGCAATTCTATTCTTATATCCAGGTTAAGTAAACTCTGGCGATAAGCAATAAGATTTCAATAGTTCAGAACAGATACCCTGTTTAAATTTCCGCCTTGTTCATATTACTAATGAGTAGCCTAAATTTATTCACAAAATAACACTGAAGTACAAATGTTTTGATTCATTATGTCAACTCCACTGCAACATCATATATCACACAGTCATCTGAATAAGTGATACTCCTATTGAAAGCATTCTGAACTGCTTCGGAATATGATTAGTGACTAACGAGCTTGTTTGGATCCATCTTCAAAAATCTCCCCCCCTATACTCTTTCAACATATAATTTTTCAATGCTGTCAGACTTCCCTCAGAAATAAATAATTCCGGATTATGTAGCACATAACAAATAACTTTCCTACGCAATCTTAGTTCACATACGTTTAATTTTCATGCAGTCAACAGCTTGAAAACAAAGTCACCACCAGGTGAGTCAAGAAAGAATCATGGCGCAAAATGAGTTTTCTTTGAGATGGTAGGTCTCTTTTCTGACAAGTACGTCTAGACACGAAACCTACTCTTGACCACTAAACCCTTATATTTCATAGCTATCTTTCACCTCAGTGATAAGACTTAAGACCAAAGAAATGGATCGATTGCTGCAACGATAATAGGGTAATCACTGTCTAAATAGTTCAATTTTAATCTTAACGTCACTGACAAATTTGTAAAACTCATTAAAAACGGCATCTGCTTTCATGTTGAAATATCTGAAGATGTCAGGTTCACAAATGATGCAGAGTTAAGTAACACAAATGCATTCATAGATGACCGCAACAGAAGTTCACAGGAACGTTATATGTAGATAACACTTCAAACTTCAGCAGAAACAACTTCACATCTTACATGAAAACGGCATGCAACATTTGAGAACAGTACTATTGTGACACTACAGAAATCTGAACAAAGCTAAATCTAGACATTACATAGCTAAACATTATCCTATGCATTTACTCAGTACTTTTGAAAGGACGCAAAAGTGATAAACTGTCTCAGACAACATAGTAAATTAAATTAACATAAGATACTTTAAATCACTGAATCCAGTTAATGTAAGTGTACAGCATAAACCAGAAGAATCAACGGAAAATATCTTATGAAAACTGAAAAAACCGCTACCGAAGGGAGATGGGGTAAATTTCATAAACAACAGTAAATGTTAAGGTTATAAGCAATACTGCGTCCACCTGTCTAATCACTGTTTAACCCAACAAATATACAAAAATTAGCTAGTAGTCGGATCACGTGATACTTAGTGACTAGTTTTAACGAATGTCGATATCTGCAGGCACAACTTTAAATTGAGAAACATGAAAATACTTCAGCACACTGGCTTAAAGACCAAGCGCTAATCCTGAAAACATGATACTCTGCTGATATAGTAAACATCAGACATGAAGATGTAGGTTTGCTATGCTGACTGTATGGAAAGGAGCAGCCAATACCCAGTCGGCTAAGACTCAGGCTTGTTATTAGATTAACGGTTGTCAGCAGTGGAATCCAGATATCACATTTCGTCCTATTTGAGACTTGGGACTCGTGGCTTACTGGCCTAAGGGATATAGTATTGGCGTTTGAAATAATGGCTGCTGGGTTCAAGTCTGGGTGGGATTATCGCAAGTAAGACGAAATAAGCACTATGATTCTGCTGCTAGCCATAATCAACCAAATAAGATCATGTTAGTCCTCAGAATAGACAGTACTTGGTGGTAACATGTCAAGAGAGATAGAATATTTTAACCAAGTGCAATCAAGCAATAGAAAATACAAAAAAGATTCAGTCTGAAAAGGAATAAAGGTCACATATCCTCACCTTCCACGCTTCCAGTGTTTCTGTTAGTTGCTGAATATCCTCGTTCTTCACGTGCACTATATCCCCTGGATAATACATGAATAAATAAAAAAAAGTGATTGTGACGGACCAGTGGATTTACCCGCAGGTTTTGCACAAAAATTATTAGTTAAAGAATAGATGAAAAACAGAGATCATTCTACAAAAGTTTTGTCCTGGTTAGAAAACGTTCACCTACATCCAGTCATTTCTATTTACCGAATTAGGTCTGTAACTATAATGTTGGAACGGAGTGTGATTAAGGTAGTCGCCTACAAAGAACACTTTTGGCTTAAAACTGAATTAAAGTAATGCTGAATCACCAGCTGATAAAAGTTGTAGAGTAGGTGTCCCTCAGTACGAACTCAGTAGTCTATTGATAATGCAGTGGTCATGACTGTTACACCACCTGAGATAATAATATTGCTGAGTTGTGGTTTCGATGGTGAAAAGCAATGTGAAACTCAGTTGAAGACCAGATCCAGCGTCAATTACCTGACAATAATGAAGATACAAGACAGACTGGCCTGTGGCAATGAAAATAATTTGACTTTTAATCTACAAAAATAGATCACATACAAATATTACCAATCTCAGAAGCTTAAGCTAACAAGTAACCAGTTATATTGGTTGTATAAAGCCCGGGTTAAAGTTGATCCACTCACATTATAGTCAATATTCTAGTTCACCACAATGGTTAATTTTTCCAAACTGGTTTAAGCCTCTGCAAACCTCTTTTAGCTAGATTTAGCTGCTCCTTATTAATGACAACCTACAGTCTTTACTCAGTCCTTAGTCAACATTAATTTACATTCGCATAGTGATTTTTAGAGGTGAGGAAAACGCTGATTTATACACACAGAAGAGACTTCTCCACCACCTCCTTCTACCTTGGGTGTAATTCCAAGTTCTACTACCACCTGATTAATAATGATGTTTTCTTTTTGAATTTTTGTAAGACATTTTAACCAAACTTTTATTTACTCTTTCTACCTATAAGATAATTTATTTTGGACTGTCTGTTAGAAGACAAATTTTCCAGGCTGAATCTATTCTTGCTTTTCTCTTCACTATTGAAACACAATAGTTGAGTGAAAGGAACATAAGTTTACAGGCTTCAAATTCATGTGTTTCCTATGCCTTTCTTGTGATTAATTTACCCACCTATGTCTTTATGTAATCTTCGCTTATTCACAACAAATCTTAGTTCGGATGAAGAAGATGATGAGTTCTGTCAAAAACAGCCTATTGAAAATCAGGAAGTACTGGATAGCTGTTTTGCCGTAGTTCGAGACTCTTTGGCGATACGCACGCGTCGGGATTCACCTACTGGGACCCGACTCGATGGACAGCACATGAACTCTGACTTCTACTAATCCGTGATTTCAGTGCGATTTGCACCAGCCGATATCATATCTGGAGAGAATTTGTCGTTATTCTCGAACTAGCGAACCCTACTGGTCACGAAGTGGGTCCGAAACCTGGTGGGTGCTTGCTGTCGAGGAGTTCCAAACTAGAGCGGAACAGCTGTCCAGTATTTCCTTGTTTTCGATGTTTAGTCCTCTAACTCATATTATTCCGTGAGCAAACTTCAAACAAGTCAAATCCCTCAAAAGACTCCTCAAAAACTATCTAATCATCTGCTAAAAGCAAGACGCGCGATATAGTCTTTTTAACAAGTGACTTCAATGAAGTTATTGCTTATGTTTCTGTTTTAATTGGCCTTTAACTGGCATCAGTTTTTTATGGAACGGAGTATGGTAAGCAAAAAATTACAGAAATAACTAGGAATTTTTATTATAATTCTGATTATTTAAAAGTGAAATCTTAACCTATGAGAATGTTTTGAGCTATACACTTAAAAATTTAAATGATATTTCCTGTCAACACTGGCTGCATAGATTTATTAAACTACTGAGTAATGAACCTTTCAATTCATGGATAATTCCCATCCAGGCATTAATGAAAACAAAACACGTAGATCAGCGAAGAGTCTCTTTTCGGCGAATTCATTTTCTCCGCTGTACAATCGCAAATATATTTGTGTTATTTTGTTTGTATGTGTATAGTGTTAATAAAATTAGGGTAGTAACAAAGGTGATGAGTTGTCATAAACAGTTGTTAAAGAAGAAGTTATGTAATAATATGAATAGTTTGATGAGTGAGTTTTACTCAGGATACACATAGGAGGAAAGTAGAGAATATTTCTCCAAACTTGAAACTTCACTTGAGCCCAAAAAGAAACTCTACATGGACTTGGATTTCAAGGGAGATTTAGCAAGCGATATTCTCAAGAGAAGGATCACATCATCTCTGATAAGAACATTCTTTGCAACAACGCTAAGAATAGTGTTCTCCAGTCTCCCACAGATCTGCAGAAGGCTCAAAGACAAAATCCCACATCTGACCACTTCTATGTGCATATATCAGTTGACCTGCTGCTGTGGAGCCAGGTAGATCGGTCATTCGACACGCACCCTGTCCAAGAGGATTCAACAACAGTATCCAGCATGGCTGTTAAAAAGCAATAGGGGAACAACACGGAGTGCGATAATTGAACACCTGGTTAACACTGATCATTCCATTTCAACAAACGCCTCCTTCGAAGTAATCTACAGAGTCATGACTTTTCCTATTATTATGGTTTTTTGTCTTGTTCAAGACTTTAATAACCAAGTAATTAAAAAGATGGATAATTATCGAGGTTTATTTCATACATATTATTCCTTTGATTGGTGAAATCTATGGATCCATCTGATAACTAACTGTCATGTGGACAGGTAAAGAAGGTATTTGTGTAGTTGCATTCTTTGTGCGAGATGATTCACTTGTAAATCTTTCATTTTTTTCCTAGACAAACATCTTAACCTCAGACGTGAATATGAAGTGAGCTATTTGAATTCTCTTTGAATTCTATTAGCCATCTCTCTTGGGTAATTATGAATGTGATTTATTATTATTTCTGCAGATTTTCCTAGAAATGTCTAGGAAGGTATTGAAGGCTTTGCAAATATGTCATCTAGTTCAAGGAACACAGCTGAACCAATACTTTTCATCGGAGTTACAGTTCCCCACCATCTCTTGAGGAAGATATTTCATTGATTTTTTTTAAACCTGTATAATGTTATAACTTGTTTCCAGTCTCCAAAATCATATTCATGCAAAATAAAGTCGTTCACATGTATGTATTTGATAATGACCTTGAAATTAATGATGGAATGAATAGATGTTACTCGAAGAATTTCATTCAAACGTGGACAGATAACCTAGTTGGCAATTTTTGGACCACTAGTCCAAATCCTGTTTTCACCTTCATCATTCATTACACTGAAATGAACACCCCATCTCCCCAACTTCAGATAACCTCATTAGAAATAAAAATTGATTTATTTGCTTATGTATTTTACGATTACCTTCAGTTTCCAAAGGATTCTGAGATAACACTTTCACAGTTTCTAGTGCTGGATCGTTGCCATATTCCAGGAGAAGATATAGTAGTTTTAAAATATTGCTAAATTCTTCAGCATCCTCGACAACAACTGGCTGTTTCATAAAAGGAAAGGAAATTTTGTTGCTAGTATGAGGAAATAAAAACTATAATTACAGAAATCTACAAAATATATGCATTGCATTCCAGTAGGATAGTCTTTGCTATTGTTATTGGTCAGTCAGCATCCATGTAGAAAAATGTAAGGAATAAAGATACTATCAAGAGAAATATATCATCTTGGAATAAATAATGCATGAAATTTTTCATTTCTTGAAACTCAATTCACGTTTGAAAATGTCTTCTTTAGAAAGACAACGTCGTATTTTGAAGATTGTATATGACTAAACGCAGTCATCGTTTTTACAGTTTGTACGGATGCAATTTAAAAATGACACTTTCTGTTTGAATTTTACCAGTCGCATAACCTACAAGTGAAAAACAATATCCTCTTGTCTAACTAATACTGAAGGAAATCCTTCTGTGAATTAGCATTTTTAGGTTTTGACTAATATAATTTTTACAAGTCTCAGTGTTCATTTTTCCTGAGCTATTCATGTATACGCGATATTTGCTAACACTTTATTCTACCCCTTATAATTATTTCTGATTCGTTTAAAACTATCTTTTATCAGTAGCATTATCTCAACTCGTTTCAACATTATTATTATTATTATTATAACTACCACTATTAAGATTACTCACTCCGCAATTCTCGGTATATTTAAATTTCTTCCCTGATGACTAATTGTTTACCTAAGATATATTTTTCAAGCGTAATACATTTTATCTTAATTTTAATCTGTCATACTCCCTTCCCCTTATCTATTTTAACATGACCTTAAAAATCATTCACACATCTCATTTTGCATGATTAATTCAATGTAGTTTATTTACTTATCAATCTTATATCGCCCAATGCATTTCTAATAGTATATATATATATATCCATGTATGTAGAGCATTCAGTTGACAAGTTCTACAGAAATCTGATGAATTCACTAAATCCTGCTTTGTTGTCCCTTCTTGCCTGTTTTAAATTCGTACCAGGAAATAAATGTTTTTAAAGCAATAATTATAAGGGAAAAATAGATTACAATTCTAGATTGTCGGTGACTTACATTGACATTTTCTAAAGTTTTCAGGTAATTTTTACAAGTTGGTATTAGTATATTTGCAAATAAATCGACAGCAATCCTCCATGAACTACATAAATCTTCATGAAAACTGAAATTAACAGAACAGGTGTTAAATGAAAGGTGCTCACGAAAATATTTGTTAAAGTGATTGATTATATGATTGCAGAGAATAAAATTAAATGAACTAGTTTACTGCTATTTTTGTAGTGAATGACAGTAAAATTTAAGCGGGATTTTATTTTTGATTTGAGAAATCCACGAGAAACTGATTGAACAGATTACCGATAGAAAACAACTGACCACCAGAGAAAACTGTCCTTTTAAATTTTGTCAAAGTATGCAATATAGACTAAACATAATATGTAAGTGTGCGTCGGTGGCATAGTGGTTAGGACTCTCGCCGACCATGCACATGGTCCGGGGTTCGATTCCATGCCGACGCACACCCGATATCTATGGTCGGCCTGCAAATTTTAGGCTACCGATATCCATGCTGAAAATTTCATACTTGTACCAAAATACGGTGTGGTATCAAGCTGTAATAAAAAAAATGAAAATTCATCAGATGGCATCGAGTCTTCTACAGGATTCTTCTTTTTCAACTTTTACTAATTTGTAATATAGTACAACCAAAACCGTATGTGTTCACTAGAGGATACTTCTCCATCAATACCTCCGACTATTAAACGCTTTTTTGTAGCGAAGTAGCAGCTTTAAATCACAAAAACACCATGAAAATGGGCATAAATTCAGTTCAGTTTATCTTCTTTTCATCACACTTTCCCATTTCAACCGATTTTGAATCAGTATTTTTTCGGTTTCTTTGTTGTATTGGTCCCTAGACGTCATCAGTTAGAGAAAAACAGACGTTAAATCTTTTCGGTTTCATCTTTGAAGTATTCTCCGTTCTAAATACTTTGTATTGACATTGAGATAACAGCTACATTATCTGAGGTATTGGCTGCCTAAGTAACTGTGTATACTTTTAGGGACAAATGCACAGGCCAAATAACTATTTTGTCAGCAGGCCAATAAATGTAATTTCAAAGGTGAATGCTAACCTCCCTCTAGTTCAAATTAGGAATTTCGTCAGATAACTCTAGTTGCACTGAACTGTTTTGATGAATTTTTTCCTTATTGCAATGAAAGATTATACTGTTGCCTGTAATTTCATTCAAATAAACATCTACCTACCGTTTACTGACAGCTTTTGTTGATAAAAATGCATCGAAATCTTCTGCGTTCTTTTTGGTTACACTAGACATTAACTGACTTCGTTTATTTATCGTTGGACTGTGTTCTGGTGAAGTAAGCCAAAAACAGATTGATGGTGCATTGAGCAGTTGTTCACCTTTACTAGTCTGAGCATGCCATTCATTATTTAATTTGGATGCAATCGGACTACTGCTCCACACTTTGACATTATCTCCTTTATGAATCCATTTTCCAGAGGGCAATCGTAAAGATGCCAATAGACAAGCAGAATGTTTACCGTCAGATAGTGGACTCCGAAGAAATATTGGTGTTATTGTGCATGATTTCTCCACAAATTCTTTAGACTTAGCAGAAATTCTTGCATAGTTGTTCTGTTAGAACAAAAAGTATATTTTAAACTAAAATTAAATTTAATTAGTTAACGAAAATATCACTCAACAAATATTTGTCAGTGACCGAATATCTCTTATTTCAAATATATACAGAAAAATTAATACTTGGACTGTGTGTTTTGAGATTTTTATTCGATATGTAAGAGCTTCCACTTCCTGTCTGCCCAAATTCATCAGAGAAAATGTATAATAACTTATTAGGAACTCTATCTTCCTATTTAAAAACATCTTTTAAAATTGCCTATGCATTATTTGATTATTACGCTCTTATATCATTGAGCTTATAACATTGAACTGCCAATGTATTTAGCCGTTTTGTTTGAATGAATTCATGAAATATCTATGTCTTTTGTTGATGCTCCGCAAACATTAGTACCTATACATTGATTGTTTATGATGTTTTATTCACTTATGTAAAAAGACTAAATGTATTCAGACACTTTAAAGATTCTATCTGGACTGCTAAGCTCTTACAGAACTGTTTGAGTTTAGTAGAGCCTTGAGAATAATGACAAGTATACTCAACACATGCATGTCTACCATTGCTTTTACAACTTACTAGTTGAGCTTCTATCATTTTCTTAACTGTCACAAGTGATTCATCAGTTAATAAGCTCAATGAATCTACTTTCTCCTGAATTATAGAATAACCTGATAACACTTGTTGTAGTTCCATACGAGCTGCCCAAATTTCATGATGAAGCTGAAAAAAAAACAGTATTCAAGTAGAAAAAGACAAATATTTAAATATAAAAGGATTCTTAAATTAATTTAAAATCATCAGACAAGCTGCTGTGTTTCCCATCTTTGATATACTGACTGATTTATATTAAGTTAACACAGAATTACATATGATTCTCATAAAGTGAGTAGCATAAATGAAAAACAAATCCAAGACTAAATATCTTTTCGATTCGAACTTAATCCATTTTCAATCTCTTATTATTTGACATGATGTCAGGTTAAACAATGCATTCTTTTGATTTTCACCATCTTCCAAACTGGATTCTGTCATCGTTTCAACTTAGACACTCTTATTCATCAACACATTTTTTAATGAGAACTTGCCTGCTTGCTTGCTTATTTGGTAATAATTATTCATTGTTTAAAAAGGTAACCAATAGTTTGTTTGCCTTAATTTGTTGTCTAACTAATATTGCATCACTAGACAAGCCCTCGAGTGGAACCCGAAAGGGAAGGAGCGAGTTGGTCGTCAGTGCAAGGGTGACTTGGAGGAGGTCATGTGGGGAGGAGATGAAAGCATGTGGGCAGACTTGGAGTGGAGTGAAAAAGTTAGCAGAAAACAGAAAACAGGCAATGGAGACGCGCAGCTGAAGCCCTATGTTCCTCTAGGAATTAAAGGATATAATAATAATAAAAACTAATATTGCTGTGAAACTGTAAACTAGTGGAAAGTATTGAGCAGAAGATATTTTGTGTTCTTATTATTGTAGAAATAAATCATCAATCACGAAACGTAAACATCAAATAATTTTAGTTCAGTTGCTTCATTCCAGCAGCAAGCAAGTAACCATCTATTTCGTCCTTTTAACGTAGATTATTCTTGCTCAGATGATTTCGGTATAGCTGAGATCTTCATTTACATACGTAGAAAACAAGGAAATTGAACAAAAATATATGAATACTTTTCGGTTAGATAGTCGTCACTGACTCTCTCTCTCTCTCTATATATATATATACATATATATATATATATATATATATATATATATATATATATATATATATATATACTACAGTACAGAATTTACTAAGCCGCTCAAGATAAGTTTGTTTACAACATTTTTTACCATTTCCTTCAAGTTTCAAAAGTTGAAATTCTAGCATAATCGTTGTTGTTTTTCACAAATTGCGATCGCTAGCCTCAAGCCTGACTGTTTTACTCCTAGCAAACTAGGCGGGATTTAGAAATGTGTCAGTTCAGATTTGAGCCTGGACTCCCCACGCTCTTAACAAGCATTCTGCCAGGGAACCACCAATGCAACTTAACAATATCTAGTCACTTTCAGTTTTTAGAAATTTTTTCTACCCTTTAATTGTTGCATTTTATGAGTTATTTGTTATCCCTTTAATGCTGGAAATTCCTGTACTATATTTTCACATATTGTCTGAGTGAGTGACATTAAACTTCATATTAGTTACAGTCCTGCAGGAGGTCAAACTTTAGCACTGGCAGTGTCTCCGAAGGCAGAACAGTGTGGAAATGTAACAACAGAAGACAAGGGCCAGACAACAGATCGTTTATTGAGAAAATCAACAGATATTTTTTATATTTTTATGTACATTATTCTTCGTTTTAATTAGCAGAGAAACAGCGTCTTCTGATTGATTGTTTTTTTCGCTGAAAGTTAATCTACCATCTGTTGTTGGCTATTTCTTTGAAGGTCAGACCATATATCTGCGAATCGTATCCATCCACGCAAAGTCTTTGCTTTTTTTCTCATGACCAAGATTTGCGACGTAAACATTGACGTAAATTGTTGCCTACCAATTTTGGCTAGCAGACAGCTCACACCACATTAAGAATAAGGATCTTTGGTGAAAATCAGTTTCTTTCAAGATTGTAAATAGCTCTGGTTGAGGAGTTCAACCAAAAAATTCAGGTCCTGGGCGTTCTGACAGTTGTTTCCAAGTACCTAATGCAAATTCGAGGTGCACTAAAATGGCTAGTTATCTGGCTTGGTGATCACTTTGCAAACTTGATCGACTAGAGTTCAGTTAACACTGACTTTACGGATTAGAGAATTGAAATAGATTACTGTCCAGTGACCAATCGATTTACAACACTGACCTGTTAGCTTTCACTTAGCGGTGTTTAACAATGAAAGTTCGGAGTTGATTGAGTGCCCAACGAAAATCACTACTTTTTCTCCTTTATTTAACGAAATACTGTAGGAATAATAAAGTGTCAAGCAGAAAACTACATAGAATAAAAACACGAGACAACCCTACTGAAATTTTATTTCTGTTACACTAATGTGCATTTTAACTGAATATCATGAATACTATCCAAGTTTTATAACTCTGTGAACTTCTGTTTTGTGATGATCAAATAACTTTTCAGGTATTTTGAAAAATTCACTGTCTGACTGACTGATTGCTAATAAATGCCTTGGGAAATGTGTATTAGAGAATAATACAGCTTTGGAAAAGCAAGATAGGCGTACACTACCTTGAAATCAGTGCGGAAGTTTACTGCATGCATCATAAGAAACAAGATGAGAATTTTAAGCATTAATATCTAGTCAACATTTCTAAGGGGCACTTCATCGAAGTCTTTTCCAACAGATTAAATACTCTTATTAGTATGTGCCATCACTGGATATGAAACATCAGATGACCGGTCAGAAAGGATAAGCAACAAGAAGTTCCGCCAACCAAGTGAACAACAGCATTCCACCTGACAAAATTGCAGACAGAAATGGAGATGGAGTGACAATAAGCTGAGAAGAATACTGAGTGATATCCGAATGGGGAACAACTGGTTGGGCGTAATTGCAAGCATGATATGGAGGAGATCGCGTGAAAGGGAGATGAAAGTTATCATGCGGACGTGTAGAAAGATAAAGATAACTTCAGAGAACACAATGAAACTGAGACGTGTTGCTGAAGCCCTATGCTCCACCAAGAACGCAAGGGACGAATACGGTTAACAGCAACACAGTGTCCTGTTATTAGGTCTGGTAAACATACTGGGCACCATTTAAATAAATATTCATCGGAACTTCGAACCACAAAGTTCAAAATGATATAATGAGTTCGGTGTTTTTCCTGAATTTTAGTATCAGCGACAGTATGTTCATTAACCTTAAGTAAATTATATCATATTTATTTCGAGATCCAAATGTTGTAGCTTTGTTCTGAAGCACATTTAAGACCCCTTCTACTTATGAGTTTGAAGTTGGGATAAAACAGTTGTCCTAAATTCCTTCATTTCAACAAATTTCCAGTTGATATCAGTCAGCGTATAAATTCATTCTGTGATATGTATCTATAATGGAGATAAGTAGGGTCTTGCCTGTGATCCAGATAAATGTGTGGTCATGTTTCCACACCGCTAAGTGACACAAATTAAAACCATTAGAGAAATATAAGTTTTCTCAAGCCTAAAAAAAGAATATGTGTTCTGCAGAGACTCTTTCCATGATTAGACGCTTGAGAAACATAACAACAGGATACTTAACATAGATGTGTTCAGCAGACCGACAAAAAGTGACCAAACTACATTTAGATTGGTGATCCTGTAAATAATAATGCCTACTCCTGGACTAATCCCGAATTCCATTTCAGATATTCATTACAATACCACATTTTTATCGTGAAATAAAACTAAAAGCTAATCCGTGAACTTAATCGAATCCAACCAATACCACTGATTTACTCAAAGATTTTCAGTAACAATAATCAATTTAAATATATTTTTACATTATTTCTTATGTATGTAATGTTTATTTTTAATACTAGACTAACCTTATGATACTCATAGGACTTCATAATGTGAAGCTGGATTGCCTCGGATAATTGAGAAATATATTTCCAACATTTGTCGACACTGGCACCAGTATCCTGAAAGTAGTATTTTCAAGAGTAAAAGAAATTAAAATGTAGGTAGTATTTATTTGAAATTCTCGACTTTTTAATTACCTACATTAATTTTCTGTTGGTTTATTTGTACGACAGTTTTGATTTTAATTAGAATTTCACCATGCCTATTTAATTTCTAGTGGGTGTATCTGTGCACAGAATAAATATTAGCAGAGAAGCTTGGGCACAGAATTCATTGGTTCTAAAGATTGAGTTTTGTTCCAACAGACTACTCGTCCAGGCCAGTTAGTTCCCTATCAGTTGACTGAAAGTCCAGATTTCCTAGAACTTGACACACTAGAGGTGTAGAAAACAAGTCTAGTGGTAATACATTTGATTGCTGATTACAATATCCCAACGGACAAAGCTTACACACACTCAGACGTTCGGCTCACTAGGATCTAGCCGAAGTTTTTTTCCCCGCCCCCCCCCCGCTGCCCATTTATTTATTCTGTTGACTTTCGTCCTCATTCACACTTTTAATGACTTACTAAATTTACTTTAAAGATTTTAAGCGTCTTTAGCTTGATCAGACGGTTTCTGTTCATAACTGGTGTCAACGGGAGGTAAAGGAAAACTGAAAAACCGCGCTTCTCTACTTTCTTACACACCATTTAGACCGACTGGAACTGTACCAACTCCTAATTCGATTGTCATACAACAACATATATTTCAGTACAATTTAGATGACTTCTGATAAAAATAAAATGAAATTAAAATATATTTTGATCTGGTGGGGATTTTCAGGTGTTTACTCTGCAGAAGTAATGAAATCAGAAATCGCCCAAATCCCGATTCCCCTGCTGCATTTAATAGTCTTATGTTTTACTCTGTTTAGCGATTTCAGGAAATTTAAAGAGAATGCATAAAGTCGAAAATAGGAATTTGCATTGACATTGATGTCTGTTTTAGTGTTAGAATGTTCGACAACCACTCACAGTATTCGGATTTCGATACGCCTTCGACGCACCTGTAAACCTCCCTTAACCGGTAGTAATCATGATGAAGAGGGGGGTGAGGTTTGACGCTAGCACCCACATCCTGGAGTAACAAAAAGTAACCGTAACTGAAACTTCAATCCTCAAACTTGAAGCCTTATGTTCCACGCGGGACACGAAGAAATGAATTTACAATAGGACGCCTTTATTTATAATATAATAAATTAGCCATTTAAAAGAAAATCAAATATTATTTTTTGAAAATAATAGAGATTTTGAAATATTTCTGTTTTCTAACACAGAAATATCAACCGTGCAGTCTTACCTTACTATAAATCCTATCCGAATGTTTCACATTATTTCGATCACTCAACGTCATTGCTGTATTTACGACGCGATCTGCCAGTTTCTTGATTCATATTAAGAAAAGAAATATCATTAAATCTGTCTTCAATCGTCAAAATAACTTTAAAATAAAATATGATATTATTAAGGGACTAATTTGTTGTATTCAAACTATAGTGATATTTATCATGTGAACGCGAAGCAGGTTCAGCGGAAAGTTGTTCTGTGACTAACCACTTACCTAACAGACGACCAACCTATCATTACCACAGACAATATATCCTACCTAATTTGGTTTTGTTCTTACTATTGAAAATCTGCTTGTATCTCAAGTTTATCAGTTGCTACTAATCAGCCTAAATAGACTTTTTTTCATAATACAGTTTTTCCCAATAGTTAAACTCGCTCTCTTTTAATCATCAGAGTTCAAATTAGAAAGTAGAACAATACCACATTTGAAACAAATTTATCTGTAGCGTTTGGATTAAATCGGAAATTTTCAAATAACAAAGAAAAATAAAATTGGCACTAAGACATATAACTATTAAAGTAACGGTATACGAACCATGTAAACCACCCTTAAGTTGTTTGTGAAGGCATTCAGAACCTCAAATTATGTACGTTTAAGTGAAGTTTAGACTCCCTTGACTGTAACAGTAATCTAGCACATGTCTAATGTCCTCCACTGTGTGCAAACAACTTTCTAGTATATGCAGATAACATTCCACCTAGTAGATATGTACACACTTATCATGCTGTGGATCCGCTTCAAATAGTCGCATATAATCAGTTTGTGTGATCCTGAAAAACACCCATATGGACATTAAGAAGAAGAGAACACGAAGTTCAGCGAAGATATCTTTTCGGCGATTTCATTTTCAGTAGCTGTACACAATCGCACTTAAATACACAATTTGACATGGATACAATTCTTGTTTGATTCCACATAATCACGACGGCGAATAAAAGGTGATAATTATTTTCAACTAGATACGGTTTTTACGAGAGGCTTAGAAACAAAATTACACAGGGTTAGAACGGATAACAAGTGTGTTATTGATTTTAAACAAAATCTACGGCGTCCAACTTACAGTAAAATCATGTTCAAGTCCCGATATTCCTTGAAGATAATCCAATATCTCAATGTTTCCTTCAATATGCTCCTGTGTTAGCCAAAATAGATTTAAAAATAAATTAGGCTAAGGACTTAATTTTTTTGTTTAAGTGTAATTTCTTTTTGTATCTTTAGTTCTTTGAGCCTTCATTGATTGCTGGGTTGTTTTCGTTACCAGGTGAGTGGCAGGAATGTAGAAAAAAGTCAATGAACAGCTAAGCGGTCTCAGCTTGAACCTTCTTCCTATCTTCTAGAACGTAATCGTAGGGAGTTGGAAACCAAGTTATGATCCATTTCAGCTAAGAAGTTGAATGGTACAGTCGTCCCTTTGTAAGCTGATGGTTAAGAGCTCTTTCATACGTAATATTCTGTTTACTAGTTGTATAATAATCTCAACATAAGGCTAAACAGATCCTCAATGGACACTGTTTTCTAATAATTACTTCTATTGACGTGAGTTAATTAAGGAAACAACCTTTGAAATCAGATTAAAGTAACTTCTCAGCTCAATAAACTGAGAATTTCGATATAAGCCAAAGCCCAAGCGATGAAAACTGGCCTTTCTAGGTATTCAAAAATATCAGCATGTATTACATATTAGTTTAAAACAGGAAATATGAGCCATTAGAATCAGACCACTGTCCACATATACTAGGCTCGAGACTTTGTTCTAATTGAGTAAGAAACTTTGGTCCATCATCAGCGGTTATTACTCTCAGCAAAACCCATGAAAAGTAAGGCTGTTAAGTAAGCTATTGTTATTTGTTTTGAAAGATTATTTTATTTGCTAAAACACTAAAAAGACGTCAAATGATGTAATGCTCACTGCTAAATGATTTCAAACACTTTGTCTACAATGCAATGAATGCATTTGCTCAAAGCCATCTCTGTTAAATGAAGCTATTTTTAATATTTTATTGTGTTAATTTCTTAAATGTTAGTGGTTGTTTATTATTTTGTTCAGACAACTCACTCTTAACATTCTTGTTCGTTCTTTCATACATTCTTGTTCTGATACATCCTGATAAAGAGAAGTGAGATGAAAGAATATATAAGGGAAACAGTTTAAAGCCTATATGTAATATGATAGTCAATTTATATTAATAAAATAACCACGAGTTTCCGTGGATGAGAACATGACTGACCTCCTAGAAGCTTTCTCAAGTGGCGCATAATCTATTCTCTTACATGTTTTATGTTCATTGTGTATTTTTGTACACTCTGACTACTTCTAACAAGATTTTATGGCCTTTACGATGTGGTTTACCCTTAGAGAGTGCTTTATCTTGCTTCAGATACGTTTATAAATGCGATAGTGTTTCCTGAAGTTATTGCATATGATTTTAAATATTACATTTAACTTTGACGCCTGTAATAATCCACCTTTTAGAGAATGTCGTTAGTGAGGGGAAGGGGGAAATAATAACATATAACCGTAGTGATCAGTTAGGCCTTTTGAGACAGTTGTGATGTGTGAAAGGCATATTTTTGTTTTACCCTATTATGACTTCTTGAATTCGGGGTTGTGTTGTTAATGAATCTTTGTAAAATTCAGTGAGCATTTATTTCCTTCAATGTGGATTTTTCTCACTAAGTGAGGTCGAATAGAGAACCAGCGGAGACCAAGAAACACTGTAGAGCTGATTTACCCTAATTCGAGCCTCATCAGAAGTACGCACTGATATGTATCCACAGGATGTGTGTTTTATTTTTGACAGTATTATATTTTGCTATGTGTATATGGATCGATATTTCATTATAACTGACAATATGCTTTTGTCTGTCCACTAACTATATAAACATGTGTGACCTTGTTGTCACATGACATTACAACCAGTCATGTTAAGACTGTCTATTTATTGGTTCATGTGTGTTAGTCATTTTCATATATACTTTTGTACTATATACTTGTTCCCGCGTTTCGTACACTACGTACCATTTCACTCACAATCTTGTGTGACATTTATTTTCCTTGTCTGGAAAATACAAATATCATCGTAAACCTGGTGGTCTTCTCATTTCCCTCTTTTCGTGTCAGGACTATTAGCTACTCGACGAGTACATAACACGCGCCGACCTCATTACATGGTGAAATACATTACATAAGCAACGTCTCTCTACCTCTCATAATATCCACAATTTTTAGATGGAACAACAGACATTCAAGGTGATGATTACAGTGATGCGAAAAACTCTAGACCATCTGAGTTATATTGCTGAAATCGGATCACTAATTCAAACAATTTATCACTTCGTGCAAGCGACACTGATTTGTGAGATTCACCGCAGATTGTTTCACTTGCAACCTGACACCTCATGAAAGCTGTTAACAATGTTTACATACATAAACAAAATTTCCTCTGGTCCAGCTTTACTCAATAATGAATACCTTTTAATCATGAGCTGACATTAGTTACAGAACCATTGAAAAACCTGGGAGTACTGGACAGCTGTTTCGCCCTAGTTTGAGACTCTTCATCAGTACGCACCCACCGGGATTCGAACCCAGGACCTTCTGGTTACAGGGCGAGTGCACGGTTGTAACCGGGAGGTCCTGGGTTCGAATCCCGGTGGGTGCGTACTGATGAAGAGTCCCAAACTAGGGCGAAACAGCTGTCCAGTACTCCCAGGTTTTTCAATGGTTCTCTAACTAATGTCAGCTCATGATGAAATCCTGAAACCAATCAAATCCCTAAAAACCAACACTTGAATACCTTTTAATTTCTAACACGTTAAAGCCTTATTCTTATTATTTCATTTCTTTGAGTTCCCAGTGGAACATAGGGCTTCAAGTTAGAGTTTAGAAGTTCCATTAGCAGTGGTGTTTTTTTACGAGGTAAGGTTGCTAGCCCTACGCCCAATCTTTCCTCTTTGCACGACATACTACCGACAGAGCCAGGTAAACGAGAGCGCCAGGTGAGGTTCAAAAACCGGGCCAGTGGCGTGGTTGGCCGGTGTTTTGCGACTGAACCACCAACGGTAAAGCCTAAATGACTTTAATATTGTGGTAACAAAAGTGGTAAAATAAGTAATTTATACAAAATAATGATGTATTGAATGCTGAGGGTTCAGAATTTCAGACAGTTACTACCAAACAAATCCAAAGTGACTGAAAACTTTTTTTTTTGGTTACAGCTTGATTCCACACCGTATTTTTGGTACAAGTGTGAATTTTTCAGCGTGGATATCGGTAGCCCAAACTTCGCAGGCCAACCATAGATATCAGGTGTGCGTCGGTGTGGGCTCGAACCCGGACCATGTGCATGGTCGGCGAGAGTCCTAACCACTGTGCCACCGACACACAGCTATTGTTTTTAAAGTCTTAAATTTATCTTTGTAGTTATTTAGTTATTTCTCGTCGATGATACTGGACAGCTCTGGGGCTTCAAGTTAAAGTGCATCGTCCAGTGGATTATGGCCCGATAGATAAGTGATAACAATGTAAAGTTGAAGGTCCCGGGTTCAGTCCCGCTGATCTCATGAACGCGTCCCGCGGAAGAGGCTAAACCCAAGATAAAATAGGTGTCCAGTACTCCAAGGTTTTGTACGATTCTCATTTCAATGTCAGTCCATCATGAAGTCCATCATAAAATCAATAAAATCCCTACAACCTCGAAGCTTGATTATTCATTGTTATTATATTTCAGCTTTACCAACAATGTGAACATTTTCTCCAACTATTTAAGTATGCGATCAGATTAAGCAGAGCTCACCTATGCTTCCGTGTACTGTTTGATGAATTATGTTACACTTTTTCAATCCGTTCTACAAATTAACACCACTTTATTAATATCTAAACATATATTTTCATTTTTTTCAACGTGTTTTTTGTGGTCAGCAGCATTTATTGAATTATATATCAGAAATAACTTTAGCACTAAAGCGATATTCAGTCCATCATTTCAAGTATGCTAAATTAATTTCTTTAAAGTGTATTTTGCACAATTAACACTTCGAAGTGCATAACTAAACATCCACTCCATCACCTTATTCTGTGGTTAAAACGAAACCACTCCGAAATCCTTGAGACTGTCAATTCATAATCTATGGTTTAGGTTTTTCCTGGACTTTTCATTATTGTTTCCAATGCATTAAGAGTAAACTACATGAAGGTATATGAAATTTACTAAGAATACAATCATTAAAACTATTATGTCACCAGTAATGTGACCTGGGATGGTATAAGCCAGTAAGTGTTCTCATACCTGACATGGTAGACCCTGCTGGTTACAAATTCTCACTAGAACTCCAGGCGACTTCCTTTATATAGGCAGTCGCTAATGAGCATCAGTAGATTTCTTCAAACTGACAGTTGTTAATTAGTCTGATGCGCAATAGTGACTGACTTTATACAGGAAGTTACCTTGAGTTCTGGATCTAGGATGAAACAGCTGTCTTGCACTCTCTGGTTTTCCAGTTTTTCTCTAACTGATGTCAGATCATGATCAAACCTGTATCTGACACTTATAACTGACTACATTATCTGGTAATAATAGTAGAAAATAGGCGTATTTCTTAAGTGTTTTATGCTTTAATGCTGTAAACACCTCATATGAAACTAAGGGGGGGAGGAATTTAACTTATTTCTCTGAAATCTTTCTTCGTGAGCCTTGATGAAGTGAAATGTAAAAATTCATGTGGAAAGAGAAATTATAAATTATAATTTTTAACAGTCGGCATACTATCTTCATCAAAATTGTAAATCTTTGACTTTTCATCTTTAGAATGTTTATGACACAGGAAGCAAATCTTATAACCTCCAAAGAAGACAAAATCCTACTCTTCTTCGTTAAGTTTTTAGATATCAGAATTAAGTTATAATAATGTAAAATTGTCGAACAAAAGAGTGAGACATATGTCTCTGTGTGTTAACCAAGAGGTTGACTAACTTACCTTAATATCATCGTTAAATATATCTGAACAAATATCACGTAACTGTTCCGCACGATGATTTCGTTCATGCTGAAGTGATGAATAGTGGACATCATGTTGAGGTGTTCCAACAAGAGTATCCTTGGATGAGAACGAAAATCATTCGAACGGTAAAACAGTGGGATAAATACATTTTCTAAGCTGATAAGAACTGATTCCACCCTCTGAACTGAGTCACACTGGGTACACTGCTGACGAGCTCTGACTCAAGTTAGCGAAACAGCCGTCCAGTGTTTATATCACATTGAACTGGCCAGATAGCACAACTGGTTGATATGGGTGGCATACAACTACTCACCTCACAATCAATCAGTAGTATGTAGTTTTATGGAAATATGCTTGATTTCTTGATTACCATTTATGGTATCAAGCAGATCACATACTCTCATCTGAATAATTTCGTTTCCAAAGGAAATTTGTCGCCTAAAACTGTGTACACTGCAAATGGTTAACTAATTTGCAAACTGTGAATTTGCTTCTTTTAAGTTTGATCGCATTACAAGTTGGAACCCCCTAAAAATCCCACTGAAAACCTTAAAGCACTGCACAGATATTTATTCCTCTTTCAAAGAATTAAACGACTCTCACCTGTGGTCTCACGAAGGGTATAACCCAGTTCCTACGGGTTACTAAGAGGATACGCTACTATTCTTCTACTAAAATTCAACTGCTCATTACGTCTAACTTCTGCTAATCCGCTATATACAGGGCAAACGCCATCCAGTGTCACTGGTGAGTATCTTTCTTTACACTTGACTTTGTGAACTCCAGCCGTCATGACTTCCCACCGAGAATTCAGAATCTTCAACTCAAACAATGCTTCAAAATAACCATATTAACTTCTGAGAGATACATTTACGGACTGCAAAAATATTCAAGAACTCGTTGTCCGTACATACGACTCACAATGAGGTGGAAATAAGGAATATATATCAATAGTCCAAAACCGAACAAGTATATAGTGAATAGCGTATTCCTAAAAATCCTGATTTCTGTACGTAAGGCATACAACCAATTCCAGTCTAGGATAATTTTACTTCCAAGTACTGTCTGCTTTCCAAAGCTGTAACAAGTAATATTCATAATTTCTTTAAAACAAAATATAAAAAGTCCTTTCTGCTTGTTTAACTCAAAAAAATATTCAGAAAACTGAATATATTGTGATTCATCTTTTTCCAATTATACAGCATGTCAACACAGAGATAAATGTCTCCGTAATCTTAAAAGTTATATATTCGGTCGTATGCTAATTTCTTCTCTTGAATTAATCAGTAAGAGGTGAATATGATTCACATTAAATCTCAGTTAAATAGATTCTTTCAACCGAAATAGCCTTAATTCTATTTGAAAAGTGCCATTTTTTGTAACCGTTTGGTAACGAACAATGTTTATGTGTGCTATATTTCTAATGAGTCATTCCACAACAAATGAACACAGTGTATACACTGTTTTATGAATTTATTAAACCTCAAACCTAAGCATCGTATGAGAATACACACTTGGCGATAAAACAGTCTATAGACAACAAAGAAGTAACGATATTAACGCATTTTAACCGGTAAAATATAATAAAACACTGAAAAACACTTAAGTCTAGGTTAACTAATTTAATTCTAAGAAAAGGAGAAGTAAATTCTACTAATTCACAGATTTGTGCAGTGTTTTTAGAGCTAATCATTCTAGTAAACAAAAAACCTTAAGTTATTCGGTGTAGAGACATAAGGCACTGGATTATCTAAACGTCAGTCACATATTCATCTTCGCCTGCATGGAATAATTCTCCTGTCTACGCCAAGTAAAATGCTAAGTTGCATCATCCTGGAGAGAATCAAAGATGCACTGGATACAGAACTCCACCGGAACAAGCTACATTCAGAAGAGGCAAATCATGGGCTGATGGAACTGTAACTCTACGCATTGTTATCAAAGAAAAAACCCTAGAATATCAGTCGAAGGCCTTCATCAGACAGCGTTGACAGAGAAGTAATTTGGAAACTACTTCAGCGCTACGAAGTGCAGTGCCCAAGTAGTTTTCAATCTCATTCAACAGCTGGCTATATGATAATGCCACGTATTTCATAATTCACAACAGGAAACTCAGTGAGGCGTTTGAAGTGCATACAGGAGTCAGACAAGCCTGCCTATTATAACCGATGACATTCTTAATTGTGATGGACTGGACTATTTGTCAGACTATGGGGAGCAAGGAGATAGGAATACGCTGGACGACCGATGAGAAGACTCTAGAGGACATATATCTAATGGCAGACAAACTTGAAGACTTGCAGGCGGAAAGCCACCAACTTTTTGAAGAAGCAAACAGTGAACACAGGACTCCAGGTAGACATAGAGAAGACGAAGGTGATAAAGATAACAAAGGACAACAACGACCAGCACCATCAACGGGAGAGATTTGACAGAGGTTACTTCTTTCACTTATCTAGGAAGTATGGTTTCAAACACTGGCAATCAGAATGGATTTAGTTGTCAAAGCAGGCCAGTATCGGAAAGGCAAGATACGCTTCCATCAACCTGAAACCAGTTTGGAAATCTTCTGCACTCTGCCTCAGCATAAGGACTGATTTCTGATTTTCAACACACATGTCAAGTCAGTCAGTCACGTCTTCTGTACAGGTCACAAACTTGGCCGGCGTGTCACGAAAAGTGTTTCCAACAGGTTTCAGACTTTCATCAACAGTTGCCTTTGACGTCTCCATACTGAAGATCAAATGGCCAGCCGGCCAGAAAGAATGAGTGAGAAGAAACTCTAGCTGGCAACAAACCAATCAAGAACCGATCGCTCAACAAGTATGTACGAAAAAGTGGAGATGGATCGGGCATACACTGAGGAGACCACAACATAATATAACGCGCAATGCAGGTGATCGCTCGAGTGGAATCCATATGGGAAGCGGTGAATGTGTCGTGGGTGCGAGGGTGACATGGAGGAGATCGTGTGAGGAATAGATGAGAAATTATGGAAAATAGTGGTTCCAGTTGAAGGGAATAGAACACAGTGGAGATGTATAATTGAAGCCCTATGTTCCTCTCTGAACCCAAGGGAACAATAATAATATAATAATAGTAGTTGTGTATTCAAGGAGTGAAATTGTTTAAAGATTAAAGATTTTGAGGGTAGCACATTAGTCTTCTATTAACATGGAAGAATTAACAAGTAATTTAATAAACTCGGTGTGCAAGTTCCATCAATCCACTTGATTATATAAATAAAATGCTCAACATTAAAGCACAGTTTATTATGTCCGTCTTTAAGGATCATCATGTTAACTGAAGAGTTCACAAGTCAGAGATATCAGATGAGAGAAAGGCTTTACTCTCAGCTCAACTTCACTCAGTTTATTTATCACCTTGCAACTTCAATCCATATAATTCAGTCGAAATTAACAACTTACGAATGAAATTAATTTACTATTCTTTAAAAAATCTGTGTGCATAAATAAACATAATTCAGCCGTAATTGTCGCTTAAATAATTTCACAGCATAGTGAATTATGATGAGTGGAATATTTTCAACCATTTGAGTACACTTAAGATAACAGATATAAGGACTTTTGTTATTTAGTTCTTAAATTATATTTTATAAAAACTTCTGTTCAACAGTAATCAAGTTTTTCAACCACAAAAAACTGTCTATTTCGAAATGTTCTTCTTCTTATGCAAGAGGAAGACAATAGACGAAAATACATTTCATCTGAATTAATCAGTACACGTAGACGATATTAATGTGGGAATTAATTAAAATGAATAATTTTCTATATTCTTATATAAAGAAGTACTTATCCATTATGCATAATGCTCAATGAAATACGATATCCAAGAGCACTATGTAAATAGAAACGTGTTCTATACAAAACGCTGATTCATATTAGCGAATGTAAATCCAAGAGGTTTTCTCTCTCGATCCTAACAGTAAGCATACCATTATAGGGGACTTTTTAATTCATGAAACTACACAGAGAACTATGTTCAAGTTGCTCCAAGTCAGTGAGTTTATGGTTGAGATATCATTTTAGTTAACTGTGCTGAACTATATTGCATGTTGTTGTATTGTATAGTTGTCGTCGCTTTTTGCCCTTTTTTCTGTGAACTGTTTCCTTTGTTGATGTTGTTCTCATTGTTTGTCCGTTATTTTCTGATTTTGAGGGGAGCAACCCAAAAAGTTGCTTCTCTCTAAACTTTAACTTAATGTAATCATTCCTTTCTCAGGCGTGAGGCTAGCAACCCCACCCTGTAAACAAAATTGCTACAGAAACTTCAGCACAATGAACCTCTTTGCACCAAAAGAAAAAGTCTGTGTAGGAACATGGAACGTCCGAACTATGTACGAGACTGGGAAAGCTGCCCAGATCGCCAACGAGATGAAAAGATACGGAATACAAGTGCTGGGAATATGTGAGAGCAGATGGAATGGGAGTGGACTCACCAAATTGTCAACAGGTGAGTCAGTGATCTACTCCGGTCACCCAGAAGATAACCACACGCACACCGAGGGCGTGGCTATCATGATGTCACCAACGGCAACGAAAGCCCTGATACAATGGGAGGCGATTTCGTCCAGGATAATGACCGCCAGGTTCAACTCCAAAGGAAGGAAAGTGTCAATCATACAATGTTATGCACCCACAAACAACGCAGACCTCGAGAAGAAAGAAGAATTCTACAGGCAACTACAGGCAACAATGGACAATACTCCAGCTGGCGACATGAAAATACTAATGGGAGACATGAACGCCAAACTGGGACCAGACAATACGGGAAGGGAACTCATCATGGGTAGAGAAGCTCTAGGAGAAATGAATGAAAACGGAGAACTCTTCGCCGACTTCTGCGCCTTCAACGAACTGGTGATTGGTGGCAGTGTATACAAGCACAAAGATATCCACAAGGCTACATGGGTGTCACCAGACGGGCAAACCAAAAACCAAATCGACTTCATCTCAATCTCAAGGAAGTGGAGGCGCAGCCTACTGGACACAAAAGCAAGAAGAGGAGCAGACGTTGGCTCAGACCACTATCTCGTACAAGGGACAATCCAAATCAAATTAAAAGCTTTCAGGGAATCAGGAGCTGCAGATAGACCACAAGCCAAGTTCAACACTCAAAAGCTGAAGGACCAGGCTACAAAGGACATCTTCATTGCAAGCATAAAGGACAAAGCCGAGACACAAATCAACACCAGCGAAAAGGTCGGCGTTGAAAAGCACTGGAACAACTTGAAAACGGTGTGGAGCCAAACCTGCATAGAAATTCTAGGCAGAAAAAAGAGACAGGACAAACAGTGGCTCACTACGGACACTTGGAAACTAATAGAAGAGAGAAGGACAGTGAAGCAAAAGATTATCCAGTGCACTGACGAGCAACAAAAACAGGAGCTGAATGCAAGCTACAATACACTGAACAAAAGAGTGAAGAAAAGTGCCAGGGAAGACAAAAGAAAATATTATGAAACCATGGCAAACGAAGCAGAACAAGCTGCAGGCAAAGGAGACCTCGCCACACTCTACCAAACAACTAGGAACCTTTCGGGCAAACGTTCGACACAGATTAAGCCAATAAAGGACGACAATGGAAAGTCAATCACCAAAGAGGTGGAACAGAGAAAGCACTGGGTTGAACACTTCAAAAGACTTCTAAATCGTCCGCCACCTACAACACGTCCAGCAATACCAACAACGGAAGCAGAACTACCAGTGAACACTGACCCCCCGACGAAATCAGAAGTCCTGAATGCAATCAAGATGCTAAAAGCTGGGAAAACACCGGGACCAGATGGAATCCCAGCAGAGGCTTTGAAAATAGACCCAGAGACAACAGCGGACTTGATGACACCACTGCTGGAGAAGGTGTGGAAAGAGGGCAAAGTACCCGAGGATTGGAAGAAAAGTTACTTATTCAAACTTCCAAAGAAAGGAGACTTAAGTCAATGTAAAAACTGGCGTGGAATTATGCTTCTGTCCATTCCAAGCAAGATACTAAGTCGCATCATCCTGGAGAGAATCAAACAAGCCCTAGATGAAAAACTTCGTCCGGAACAGGCTGGATTCAGGAGAAACAAATCATGTATTGATCAAATCGCCACTCTACGGATCATCATTGAACAAAGCTTGGAATGGCAGTCACCTCTCTATCTCAACTTCATCGACTTTGAAAAGGCCTTCGACAGCGTCGATCGAGAGGTCATTTGGAAACTACTTCGCTACTACGGGGTCCCATCGACAATTATACACCTCATCCAACAGTTATACGACAATGCTGCATGCCAAGTAATCCACAACGGGAAACTTACGGAAGCCTTCGAAGTGAGGACGGGAGTGAGGCAAGGCTGTCTACTATCACCAATGATCTTCCTGATTGCAATTGATTGGATAATGCGACAGACAACGGCAACCAACGAGGGAACAGGCATAAAATGGACTGACACAAAAGACTTGGAGGATCTGGATTTCGCCGATGATATATGTCTGATTTCCCATAAACTGGAAGATATGCAAGTGAAAAGTAACAAGTTGGCAGAAGAAGCATCAAAGATAGGACTTCACGTGAACATAGATAAAACAGAGATGATGAAGATTCCTAGCCAACATCAACAACAACAACAGACAACAATAAGCATAAATGGGAAGAACCTGAAAGAAACAACCTCCTTCACCTACCTGGGAAGCATCGTCTCAACTACAGGCGGAACTGACGAGGACATCAAAGCCAGAATCGGAAAAGCAAGACAAGCTTTCATTACTCTCAAATCTGTGTGGAGGTCAACAGCACTCAGCATCAAAAATAAGATCCGGATTTTCAACTCCAATGTGAAGTCAGTGCTACTATACGGATCAGAGACTTGGCGAGTCATAAAGAGCATCTCAAACAAACTTCAAACCTTCATTAACAACTGTCTCCGCTCAATACTCAAGATCAGATGGCCAGAAAAGATCAGCAACAGGGATCTCTGGGAGCGAACCAATCAGGAACCGATTGTGAAACAAATAGGCAGAAAGAAATGGAGATGGATTGGCCATACGCTGAGGAAACCATCAAGTGACATCACTAGACAAGCCCTCGAGTGGAACCCGAAAGGGAGGCGGCGAGTTGGTCGTGCAAGGGTGACTTGGAGGAGGTCATGTGAGGAGGAGATGAAAGCATGTGGACAGACCTGGAGCAGGGTGAAAAAGTTGTCAGAAAACCGAAGGCAATGGAGGTGCGCAGCTGAAGCCCTATGTTCCTCTAGGAACTAAAGAATACAATAATAATACACAGAGTAATACAAGACTATTAACTAATGATCTTTCGAGTATAATTTACTGCTCACAGTTATATCAAGGTAAGTTTCGGTTTGAAAACATCGTGTCAGTTTTATACATAAGCTTTCTTACTGGAGTACCATAAGTTATTCTGAAATAAGAATAGTATTCAGGCAATGTGGTAGAGTATAATTTCACCTAAGAATAATTTGTTTTCAGTTAAGACACAATGACAGCGTTATTTACTGGTGACGCTTTAGTCAAAATGTATTGGCTGTAATCATACGGCAGTGCTCAAACGCTATTTTTACATTCATAGCTTACCGATACGAGTGGAACGCTCACATAGCTGGCAACTTATTATTGTATGTTTCCTTCGGTGTGATTGGCAGACGATTACGGGAATGTGCAGTTCTTACACCATGCCAAGCCACAATCATGTACACGGAAGTAGAGTGTGGTTAGTGTCACTTTACTACCAACAATATTTTTATTTGATTTTAAGCTAAATGCATGAGTTTTTACCTTGTTCTCTTACTGACTTCAGCTTTCGGTGCTGATCACAGTCTTTTAAGTTCCCATCTCTTCCTGAAATCTTATTTAATCCATTAAGTTGAATTATCTTTCTCCTTGTTTAGAAATCTTGAGCATTTTACTCGGTGATGATTTGGATTGGATGTCATAAGGTTTGCTACCCACACATTTTGTATCCCTAATTCCCTAACATAAACACACGGTTAAACTGTCTGTACACACGAAGAATATTATGGATAACTGTCCAATATTTGTCAGACTTCCATAACTAAGTATGAATGAATCTCTATTGAAGTCATATTCCTCTTCGTAACTGGGAAGTATTCTTCTGCAGAAAAACTTTGTTATAAAGCAAATTTTTCAAAAATGATCATCTCCTCTAGTAAGTATTTCGAAATGAAACCAGAAACCATTAGTCTTACTGCCATTACTAATAATATTGGTATCATTGAAGATAATGACAAATCGCATTAAAATTAGTCTCCATTAAATAATCAAAAACGTTACTTACATCAGTCGCTCCAGATTCTGACATAATTCTGAAAAAGCGGAAAAAAATAAAGTGATACTAAAAATTCTACTTATTTTTCATCCTTTTAATTAATGACTCATTTGATTGTTTTATGAAACCATTGTGACGTTCCTACAGGTGAAGTACATAAGGCCTAAAGTAAAACAGCGTATCAAGATTTAACAAGAATTCAGTTGCTATTACTGACTAGAAATGCTAATAGAATAAAAATATTTAACGGCGCTTATTTTCCGCAAAAGCAATTACGTGTATTATAGATTTTTTTCTTTTTGTGATGAGATGTTGCATTTTTGAAAAGAAGTGCATTCTAACCTAGTTTGAAGTCTCTGTATCGATTAGACTGATTTCCTCGGGGTAGATTTGCTAGCCGCACACTCAACCTTCTCTCTTTATATCTGGGTTTAAAATTGAACAGTAAACTGTATAACCGACAAGTGGGATTTGCAAACACTGACCACTTAAATGGGACTCAGTAGTACAATCTTTAATGTGTTAGTCTGCAGACTTAGAATCCTAAATCAGGTTATATTTGTTATTTGGTAGGTATTCTGAGGATAAAATGAATTAACTTGGTAGTGAATTTTGATAAAAAATACATTAACAGGGAAGATTTAACTTCAAATTTCTGAAACTTATAAAACTTATTTACTTTTGACTTTTCTGTGACAACAGCTTCCCTCCACATCGATTCGAAGGCATTATTCCTCTTACTAAATTTTATTGCAATTATAAAACAGTTTCCTAAGTGTTGCGTTAATTCTAAGAAATGATAATATTTTCACCCTGCTAATTCTAAACAGCTGTAATGTACCAGATTAACTGTCCTGTCAAATGTTCAGTTTCATGTTTAATCATCAATACAACAATGGTGGCACAGCGGCAGAATGCTCACCAACTACACAGGTGGTTCGGGGTTCGACCCCCAGCCGACACTCTCTTTTCCCTTGTTAAACTAGTTATAAGACTGGTAAAGGAGAGAGGTTGGGCATGAGGCTAGCAATCCAGTTCTGTAAAAATAAACGCCACTGCTACCGAAACTTCAAGGCTCTAGCCTGAAGTCCTATGTTCCACTAGGAACGTAAAGGAATACAAAAAAAGACAACATCGAATCAGAAGACTTGAAAGTGAAATTTTAAACCTTTCTGATAAGTGAATAAGCTTTACACTTGTTGTCTGCTGACAATTTAAAGACATACATCAGTCTGAATATGTTAATTTTTGTATACCGTGAGCTATACTAAATTATTTTGGTCTGAATAAATGAAAAAATCAAATAGTCACTGACAGCTATCTGACCGAATTTAAGCGTGTCATATAAATTTACATACGATTCTTATACCTTCATAGCGAGATTTATCGAACAATACTCCAACCAAATGTTTATGAATGCTAACCCTGTAGTCTCAGGTGTTTATTTTCCAGAGTTAAGAGCTTATTAAAAATTTCACTTGAGAAATCTAATCTTCAGGGTTTAGCTGATGCTTTAAAAACTGCGAAAGACTAAAATTCTTTGCTGATTGTCTGAATATTATTCAACCTTCTAGGTAGCCTTACCAATTGAATAATTTTGTTTATTAAAACTTGAATAGCTCGTAATTCTATTTAGCCAGTATGATGTAAACGAAAGAAGCAGGATCAGCATAGTCAATGTGGTTAAATAAGTAAAAATGCCACAAAAGCTTTATTGCTTTCTTAAACTAAGACCTCTATTGACAAAGAAATATATATATATACAGCTTGGTAAAAAATCTCGTGAACAGTCTTTTCGTTAAATGTTGTGTTCGTAAAACTTAGTGTGCAAGCTTTATTCAACACTTACTCGCCTTCAGTTATCATTCTTCACTACATGGTTTCATTGGAAGGCATTCATGTAGATAATAATTACATGAGGTTGTATTAAGAACTAGGCACTAAAATAAAACTAGTTTCCTTTAAACGAACATATTTAAGCTTTGTAACCAACTATACACATAAATCTCTGCAGCATAATCATTTCACATACACTCGAAGTAAGAATTTTAGTGTGCTTGTGTATTCAGTACAGTGAGTGAGAGATAACAGATATCTGAAAAAGCCTACACTACTCTGTGAACCTATGAACGTCTTGTTATGAGATTGAGTATAGAAAGCTTTAGGCAGCCAAATCTCCTACTTCAACCAAACCAGAAGTGTACCTATTTTCTCAGTGGTGCTTTCTTATTGGGTATGCTGAAAATTATGCATTATTCAAGCCTTGACAGTCAGCAGGCAGGAAATATTTCCTGACGTGTTATTTTTGCATACGACCGAATGAAATAAGTCGGGCCATCCATTCCTACTTGAATATTTCACGCAGCGACAAGGTGCCATTCTACTTTTGGTGACAATCAATAATTCACTTCAAGTTTCTACAAACAACACGAGAGAGAGAGAGAAAGACAAAGGGAGACACACAGGTAGAGAGGAAGCGAAACTATACACAAATAGATTTTATGCTAATCAGATTTAGTTAATACTATAAAGAAGGTAAATACACTATCTTGACTTCATTTGAGAAATCATTCACAATGTTGACTGTGTACAAACAAAATTAGAATCAATATCTGACTAAAAATCTATTCTTGCTAATTACATATTCATATTCCGTAGATGGTGAAACAATTTTTCTATCTGATATGCGAGCATAGAAATCCGTTGGTAATATTGGAAGTGCGGCTGAATTTCAGTATTTGCCTAAACTAACGGAAGTGCGGTCCTAGTGGCTGAATGGTATATGAGCTTGCCAGAAGGTCCTAGTTTCGAATCCCAGTTAGTGCGTACTAGGATGAAACAGCTGTCCAATAATCCTGGGTTCGATCCCCGGCCGACTCACTTCTTTACCTTGCTAAGCCAGAAATAATGCTGGTAAAGAGTAAAGGTTGGGTATGACGCTAGCAACCCCATTCTGTAAAAATAAACATCACTGCTACCGAAACTTCACGCCACTAGCTTGAGGCCATATGTTCCACTGGGAACGTGAAAGATACAAAAAAAGGAAGTGTAGTTGATTTCAGCCTTTCCACCAAAATGCTGTCAATCTCTTCTCCATGGTTATTGTTTCTCCACCAGCATAGTGTGACAACAGAACTTTCGGATGTTTTAACTTCCTCAAAGCTCGGAATACGGTCACCTGGTGTGAAAACATAACTTTCTTTATGGTTTATATAGGCTTGAGACTGCTTGACTGCTGTCAGGCACTAAGATCACACGATCAGAATCTTATTTTGACACCCAAACTGACAGCTATATGAAAATATAGTGCAGTGTATCAGAGACAGTCTTTTGCTTAATAACTATCACCTAAAACTTGATGTTACCATTGCTTAGCCTATACAGTGCATGGATTACATCAGTTTCCTTCCGTTAATCAATCGTTATATATATATATATATATATATATATATATATATATATATATCATACAAAATATAGGATTTCTGTTTATTTCTTACATGACATTCCTTCGATAAGTGTAGTTGCGTACTGTTTCTGTGTTATACGGGCAGAAATTCCCTAAAATATTTAAATTATTCGACGTGTTTATAACACCAACAACTACCCCATTTTATTCAGGTAAATCGTAATACTCTCATTAATAAATCCTCTAGCTGTTTTATTAACACTAAAATTTTCTCTTCATTACGTCTCGAATGAACTGATTAGCCGCATTCTGGCACATAGACTATTTAGACAGATGCGTCTCTATAACCATGATTACTAGCTTATTGTTGCTGGTTTGGCAATGACTATCTGTAGAATCTAGTGGATTACTGACAACCACGTATTACAAATATATTTATTTCCTAAGCTTATGAATAGTCTTCACCGGAGGTAATCCTTTCACAGCAACTGATTTCCCTGCTCATTAATTTAAGATTAGAATGGCCACAGTTATACAAGTATAAATGAGTTTTCAATTTTAGGAACAAATAAGTGCTAATAGGATATCCTACACTTGAGATCAATGCATGCTGAAACCTATCAACTTTGAGAATATTCCGCATTCTCTTTAAGATTAAAATTTTATTAACTTAGTTTCACAGTCAAAGATTTTACACACTTATCAATACTAAACATGGTATATTTTGCTGCTCCCTTTAGCTAAGTAGGTAGACTGTACATTTCATGAAGGTACTTTAACCGACACAAACGAATAGTAGACTGCAGTCTTTTTTATCTTTTGACTTCTTCATGCATGTTACCTAGATTTATAAAAATAAACAGATAAGTTGAATAGCTGAGTAATAAAGCTTCTCACTTCAAACGTGAGTTTCTCAGGTTCATATCTTTGCAAGAATATAATTTATCCGAATTTTACGAGTCTAAAAATTCTTACTGATTGACTGTTACTACGGAATGAGTTAAATTCTGTTCATTTGGCCATTTACTAATAAAGTCTGAATAAGCAGCTGACTGCATACTACCCAGAGAATTTCAATGGTAAGCTTGGATGTCAAATATCTACCACACCGATACCAAGACTAGTCTCAATTAACGAAGATAAATAAATGACCATCCCCCACCCTCGCAACCACCCTGTTAATGACATTAAATCTGACTAAAGGATAAGATCTGACAATTTCTAGAATTATCGGACTTCTAAAACTACTTTTATACAGTAAATCCTTACATATTACGTGAAACTAATTATTTAATATCCTCTGAAATTAAGACTTCAAATATAGTGGACTTTCTCAAAGTTCTGTTTCTAATTTGAGCACATTCTTGAAATCTCTCAGTCATTTTCGCAATCTGTTCATAATGCCGAGTAATATATTTCCATAAAATATGTAACCAAAGACTGCAGAACTCTCTTAGCTATAATATTATTATTTTTGTTTTAAAATTAACTGATCCATTTGGCAATAAGTTGCATTTTCGGCTTCACAAAACTATAGTTCATCTTGCAGGTTTCGTCTGTGCTCACCAACGCAATCATAGAGGTACGCTGGCCAAACAGTGAAATAATCATATTGCTAGTCGACGATTAGAATATTATTCGTACTATTCTTATGCCTAATGCCGATGGAACTGGGTTCATTTTGCTGAAAAATCAGGCTAATCAATCCAATAATGCAATAATGAAATTTCAGTGTTCGGTAATCATATGCGACAAGTGGATAACTGTGAGTTCAACCTAGGAACATGATGACACAGGTAGTAACACTGTAATGTAGAGACTCTATAAAAGTGAGTTTGATTTAATAATGAGAGTTCAGTAATTACGATTTGACAGAACCTAGCCTTTTAAAGACTGATATTACCTTCATACGAGTGGTCATAACCTGTGTCTGTGTCAATAAGCACTTGGATTAATTAATCCTATAAAATTGATGGTTCACAAAAGTACACATCTCTGACAATAAATTTAATAATGTGATGCCTTGACTTAAAATTCAAATTGTTCAGAAGTAAATGTGGAAAATAAGACTTAGATGAAAAAAGTAGAAATAAGTCAGGAGGTATAAAACACCGTTTGGTCTGAAGTGTGATGGCTTCGTATATAAACAGTATATGAATTAGTCAATGGATAGTTCTCTGACGTTAGACATCAAAAGCCAGAATTTTATATACATTTTTCTGCTTAGCTTAAATAGGCATGAAATGGTGTCAACATTTCAGTATTGTTTTCTTTCATCATTATGCTATGGTTACTTTTAGTTACATCACTGAATGTCTGACAGATGACGTTACTCGAGACCAGACCAAACTATTAAACAGAACCTACATTTATAGTGCTGTTGTACATTAACTCCACAGTTTTCGTCTTTCAACATCAAATCTTCAGAGCTAATTCTAGTATGAGGTCATCGCAAAATGCACGTGATCCATTAGCTGAAAATGTCCTATGTTTAAACTCCATATATTTCCAGAATGCCCTTCTAAGAGACAACACAGTGGTTGTTGAAGCACTCAGCAGTGATTGCAATTAAAGTCTAAATCTATGTACTTAAAATCTGTAAACTATGTTCCTATCTAGATATTAATTAATAATTTTTCAGGAAGTTTGTTAATGCGATGGATTAAAACAAAAGTCAACGATAACTTACGTTTCTTTAGTGAAGATGACTGAATTCTCTTGAATAGATATGTTCAGAGTTTCAGTAGTTTATGCAAACTGAACATATTTCTCTTGACTTCATACTGGAAAAGGTAACAATTTTTGCGTTTATATTGTGATTTATGTTACGTAATCAAATAGCCTTTCTCTTTATTTGTTCTGTTGGTTTTTTTGCAACCAAATTACCAACAATAACACGAAAAAACAAATTCACTCACTTGAACATTTTATAAAATCAGTTAAGAAATAAATATTCGATGAAGAATCATCCACACATACACACATATACTCCAGGTAGGCATACACATGCAAACTCATGTTCTGGAGATGAAATAACCAATCCGATACTTGTATTAAAATATAAAATAAATTAACTGAAAGCACAATTGTTAAATTCTCACTCGTTATACTGCTGAAACTTCATCTGTTGCCGAATTGTTTCAGTTGTTTAAATGACGTATAAACTGACTTTAAAGCATTATATATATATAAACACCCACACCCCCTTCCCTGGTTCACACTCAAAAAAGTTGAGATGAAGAAACTGAAACTTGGAAAATACACAATTTGTAAGCAGTTAAACAACAAAAAGTTGTATTGATTAGGTAATCAAAACACGGGAAAGCTACTTTCTACTAACAGGGCCGAAATAACTGATTCCTTAAGCTTTATTATTTATTGGTATTTCTGATAATTTCTGAGTGGAACAAAAGGCTTCAATAGCACATCTCCATTTCACTCTTTTCTGCAGTGTTCTTAGGCTGACTGTACGACGGCTCATAAGGTTTCAGCTTTCCCTCACCCAACCCCCTACCTGTCACCCTCGGACACCTAAGGCATCTCTCCCCATACGGCTTCCTCTTGAGTGAATGTTTGGCGAGTAATGTCACTAAACGGTCGACACAGTATACATGTAATCCACCGACATTTTAGTCGTCATATTTGTTGGTCAATAAGTTCTCACTCGGTACATTCCCAAAGAGTTCTCTGTTGCTTACACTTTATGGATGGTGGTTATCCGGTATTCAGTATGCAGCATGAGAAGTCACATGTCAATAAAAGTTTGAAGGCTATTCAAAATGATTTCGGTGTCTCACTCACCAAGTCACTGAACAACATAGAAGTCCTCACTGACTTGACACTGGTGTTGAAAATCCCAACCTTTCACTTTATGTTTAGTTTAGTAGAGTTTCATACTGACTTTTGACTACTGAAGGCCTTTCTTGCTTTCTCGACTCTGATTTCAACATCCTCATCCTTTCTGCTTGTATTTGAAATGATTTGTCTAGATAAGTGACGGAATTGACCTCTTTCAAATTTCTCCCACTGATAGTGATCACCGATTGTTGTTGGTGGTGGTTAGATATCTTCATCACCTCTGTAAATGAGATTAATTTTCACTTCAGAGTAACTTAAATAGAAATAAACATTTCAAAAAGGGTCTGTTTGGTCAATTTTATGGTTGATTCAAGTCGGCATCAATTTTATGAGCACTGAATATGCGAGAACACTGGACAAATGTTCTGTTTCTGTTTATGACTCATCACCGGCACCAACCAATACCCATGAAATGATATCATTGTTTCCATGAGTGGCTTTGTCAAACTGATCTTGAGACCTAAATATTTACTTCTTACATTAGCATTTTATATCTAATTTGCTTCTTAAAATTTTTTTATTCTAAACGTAGAACAAATCTTGTTCTAAAATCAAAAAGTTTTGAGTACGGTATATTTTCGCATTAAAAATAACTGTACACTGTAAAACAACTTGATAAACTTCCCTCGGTTGCATCTAAAATATCTCTGATTTGGTATTCTGATCTCACTGAAATAAATTCCAAACGGAGACCTGAGTAGAGATGGGGTAGTGCTCACTCAGAGGTTATTAGTACGAAACTTATAGCAGTCATGCGTTTACTAACTTCATTCATGAAAAATCCCCATTCGAACACCAATAGAGAAAAGACTAGTAGTAGTTCAGCGAAGAGTCTCTTTTCGGCGAATTCATTTTCACAGTTGTACAATCGCAAATATATGTGGCTAATTTGTAGGTGGGTGTACACTGAATTTGTCAAATGAAAATACAGTTAGTAAGTTTTTGGTGGAGTGATACAAGAGGGTAGTAACAAAAGTGATGAGTTGTTGCCAACGGTCGCTAAAGAAGAATTGCGTAATAACATGAATATTTCGATGGAAGAGTTGTGCTCGGCATGTACATGGAAACAAAATGAAATACGGAATTATGTAAGAGTTTTAAAGAAATACAAGGGTTTTGATTAGTTAGAAAAGAAGCAAACAAGCAAAAGTTAAGTCAGATGTACAGAGTTGTTACCATGATTGTAGAAGAAGCTGAATAATTTTCCTCTGTATGCATAGCTCCGGCTCTTCTAACTGAATGGCTAGGTCTTCAGCAACACAGGGAAGACGGAAACTTATTTTCTTTAGCAGGTTGTTTTTCAATTTGTAGATAACTTTGAAGAAGGTGTTTGTTGAGATGAAATGACCAGTGGTAACGAGATGTTCAGCTATTGCACTCTTTATACAGCCACTACTTCCTTTCTGCAGCCAAGCTTGATAGTGTTATTTGACCCTTTTTGACCGGATGACCGATGAACCTGGCTCCACAGCAACAGGTGAAACTGATATAAACACACAAAAGTGGTCAGGTGCGGGATCTTGTTCTTTGGGCTTCTTCAGATCACAGGGTAACTGGAGAACACTACTACTACTTTGTTTTCATGAACACGGTGAGCGCAACTCTTTCATCAAACGTTCATTGACGCTATTACATAACTCTTCTTTAACAACCGTTTGTTACAACTCATCACTTTTGTCACTATCCTCTTATATCAATATCCAATTCCTCTGAATTCTTTCATATTACGTAAATCCACCAAAAACTTACTAGTTGTATTTTCATTTGACAAATTCAGCGTATACACACATACAAATTAGCCATATATATTTGCGATTGTACAACTGTGAAAATGAATTCGCCGAAAAGAGACTCTTCGCTGAACTACTAGTCTTCCGTCTATTTTCTACCTTCGCTAGTAATGTCAATAAACGGTCGAGTCATCATCCGAGGAGAGAAAATGTATGCTTGTACATCGTCTGCGAGTGTACAAGTATTAACTATTTTTTTGAGCTTAGACAATTTATTTTGAAACCTACTTTAACCTTAGGTTAACTTATCAGCACTAGTTATACACACTGAGTACGAGCAAACTTTCTTAGCTTTATGATGACATTTATTGCAATTAAATTTCAAACTCTGAAGATTATCGCATTACTACTATTCGTATTCTAAATTAAAATCTTTTCAGAAATCGGAATTTTTCCGGTAAATGAGCCCAAAATTATGGCTCAGGACATCAGAACTTTTGAATATACTTTCAACATCAAAATCAGAGGACATTGAAGCAAGGGATGTTTGCTTTGTAATCTTTAAAATTAGTTGATTAGTTATGCTAACCACTTGACTAAAAGAAAAGCGATACATTGCTGCTCTTATTCATTCTCTCTTGACGTTTCCCTCAGTTAAACTTAATGTACTCATATTTGATGGCTCTTATGAGAAATAAAATCATACTTTCTAATATAAAGTGTACTTTGGTTTACTCAAAATTTAAGTTCAACAAATTCTGATAGGAGCGTTTGGATTGTCGTCGAATTTCCGAACATCACCCTGCGTGGTTAAGTAAAGGACAAACAAAATCTATTCGTAGCGCTGTTCTAGCTCATCTTGTGGATACAGAGCACAAGATTGATGTTAACCAGGCTTCCAGAGTTAGTTACCGCATACCAACAAATCTTAATTTCGCCTTTAGAGTTCGATTACTAAATATTGCTGTCGGAATCTACATTTAGAAGGCTAATTTGTGCGTCCAAAAGTAGCTAGTTCAGACATTATCGTTGCCTTGGCCATCTAGGTTTGAATGATTCTGAATTTTTGTGGAATTTTCCTAATTTTAGTTGATATTCTATTTACTATTATATCTTTATTATTATAATAATTCAAGCATCTTTAATGGACTGTAATTTCATTCATCTTACTTTACAAATCGATATTATTTAATAAACACTAATATTGTTATTGACTACTAATCTAGAATATTTTATGTATATAAACGTATATATAATTGTAGAGCCAGAAGAGGAGGAAATTATCGAAAAGGATATTCTTTGCTCAATTATTTTGTGTTTTATAAATGAGAAATTACAGATCACATAACAGAGTTAGTTTACACCTACTGTTTGTAAACCACGTAAACAGCACTTAGAAAAACACCGAATGGAAGTTTATCAGGAACCCAGTAAGCCTTTTTCGAACAGTAGAACATGCTTGTCTTATTGTAAATGCATACATGCACAAAGCGAGCATAGATATTCGACTGATGGGAATTATGAGGAATCACATCCATTTGCTTTCTAGCAACTTTATTTTTAATACTAGCCGCCCTAACAACTATTGTTGTTAAAATAACTTCTAACTCCTAAAACTATTTGTTGACAATGACGGTCACTGTTAGTTAGAGAAAAGTGTTGGAATTAGTTTACTGGAATCACTGAAGTCTGACTGATCTTAAGGTGTTCTTCATCATGATGAAATAGCCAACGAAAACAAAGATAAACTTGAGTAGCTTCTGTTATGTTCTCATATTAACTGATGGTTGAAATTATTGTCCGTGACGGCTTGTAATCGTTCTCCTCGAGTAACAAGCCAATAAGCTACAAATAGTCCAAAAGAATTTGTAAAGTAGCAAAGAAAGCTAATAGACCCAAAGAAAATGTATAATGGAAGTATCTTTTTTTATTGTTACAACTCTGATATTTGATTGAGTATTTTTCATAGTATAACCTGGTAAGCAAACGTCAGCTGTAACATATAACAGCTTCAGGAACAGCAAACAACTCCCATACTTACCTTTAGGTACAAGTCGCCAGTGTTATTTAAAATTCATACATACTGATAGGTATGCCTTACACTGTGTATATTTACTTTCTGACAGTTATCAACTGGATGTTACTAACATTTTCGCGTATACTAAATGTCTGTTAACTTGTTTAGAGACTTCTTTTGGCGACTAACTATTGGATAAGAAATTAAATCTTCATTAAGGAAGATAGTCTAGCATTAACTACTCATAGTGACTGGCATTTTTAAATCGCTAGTCCATAAACCTACTATTATCCTTTGATATGTTGATCACTAAACAGTA